AGCAATCGTCAATTAGGAACGACATTACAATAAATTTTAATATTTTTTTTCGTCCTTTTCGATTTTCTCTTTGCAATTTTGTTTTGGTTCGTATTAATTACAACAGTTCGATTTCATTTTTCTAAAACATTTTTTTGCTAATAATCTTGATAGTGAAAAAAGCTTAATTAATGTTGATTCTAAATGTTCCAATTTAAAACTTGCAAATCAATTACGTAATTATGTAATTATTACTCAAAATGATTTTACGTCATTACAACATATGAAGCTATTAATTATTAACTAACAATACTGGTCAATAATAACCATTTAAATTTTAACCGAAATTGTCTGCTTGAATTTGACCTGAAAATAATGAAAAAGGGTTTGGATGAGATGAGAAAGAAAGCTTTTTTGTATTGAAAAGAAAAAGTGGTTATTTTATCAATAACTTGTCGATTATAATATTCGGGGTAGTAAGAAATTACATATGTTTCGGGGCAGACTTTGGGGCTTTCGCGGCATCACGATATCAATACATAAACTGTATGTATGGTGGTCGGTGAGTACGAACGAACCCGTGGCGCATTTAATGGCCTGGCAAGGAGAGGTTTTGTAACGACTCGGCGCTCAAAAGACATTATAATTTAAAGTTTTAATATAAGTCCCGTGCTGGCCGCCGGCAACAAGTGAGATAACTCTGAGCGCATTCGGCCCTGTGTAAAATATGCCGCCCCCGGGGTATGTATATTACGTCGGTCGATACGGCCCGGGGCGAAATTTAAATTCCGTTCGACCTCCATCGTATGGGATAGTACCCCGAGAAATTTCCCTAGTGATCGCGCGACCTTAGGGCTACACGAAGGAGACGACGACACGGCACCAGAGAGAACCGAACAACCGAGCCAAAGCCCGAAGGAAAGATGAACGAATAAGTAAAAAAATAGAAAAGAAAAAGAAATTGAGAAAAATGGAAAACGGAGCGAGGAGGAGAGGTCGGATATAATAAGCGTAGAGAAGGGAAAAATTGTCCTGAAATGCGCACGCCGCTTCGCTCCAGATGTACGATAATTTATGTGCCCCGCGTAATTGTTGCTCTGACTCGATAAGGATAATTTTCTCTTTTAATGCGTCCGTGACGCGAACCGCTTGCAGAGGTGTAACTTTGCTTGTTCTTCGAACAGATCATGATCTGTTATGTCTGAAAAACATTTTCAAAGATACCTACAGCATTATTGGCGCCTATAAATGTACATTTGCTTTTATTACCATTACATCTATTCTAAAGATAATGTAACTAATTATCAGGCTATATTGTTATATGGTAAGCAAAAGTATCATATCGCAAGAAACTATGACATTAGTAATCACTAATCCAAACGTCCAATAATCCAACAATTGACAACTTGTATAAATAGCACTAATCCCAAAAAATAGCACTTTTTTGTTGTCATTGATTTTACATGTATAGTATTTTGATTTAACAAAACTTAACCAATTTCGATCACCAATATTTCTTTCGAAAGCGTAATCATTGATCAATACAAAAATCGAAAACCCGTTTTGAAATCTGTTTCGTATTCCGATAAAACGCCAAAATATGCGAAGGTACACGAAAATAACTTTTTTTAGGTCATAGCTCGTAAACTATGTATTCAATTATCAAGATCTGTACCTACGTCGTCTGATTCGCCATAGTTTCTTTTATCGAAATGATATCAATTCTTTCTCGTTAACTTTGTACAGCACTCAGAACAACACCGTGTTTGGATTAATTTCATCTAATTTTCACCATTTCGTATTTTTCTCGATATTTATACAGTGAATTTCACTTAAAATGCAATATACAAAAATATATTTCCTTAGAAACCAGGGCGTACCAACTTACTTTGACCCACATAAAATGCAACATGTCTGAATGTTTCTAATTCTAGTTCTAATGTTAGGTTTAGTGACAGTGGTAGGTTGCGCTAGTTAAACTAAGATATCATTATGTTGCATATTTTTATTGTATTAAAACTAGAACTAACACAAGACGTAGAACTAGAATCATTCGGGTTTAGCCGTCTTGAGAGACATGCGGCTAAATCCGAATGCTTTTAGTTCTCGGTCTAGTGTTAGTTCTAGTAGTGCACTAGCACTATCACTAGAACTAACACAAGACCTAGAACTAGAATCATTCGAGTTTAGCCGTCTTGAGAGACGTGCGGCTAAACCCGAATGTTTCTAGTTCTCGGTCTAGTGTTAGTTCTAGTTTTACACTAGCACTATCACTAGAACTAACACAAGACCTAGAACTAGAATCATTCGGGTTTAGCCGTCTTGAGAGACGTGCGGCTAAACCCGAATGTTTCTAGTTCTAATGTTAGTTCTAGTGACAGTAGTAGGTAGCGCTAGTTAGCATAAGATATCACTAAGTTGCATATTTTTATTGCACTAAAACTAGAACTAACACTAGACCTAGAAAGTATGGGGTTGACGAAATTAATAGTTTCATAACTATGGTTACTGCATTCATATATTGCGAGTTATATGAAATTCCCGGTATATCTGAGACCAAAAGTGTTAAAAAACAATATTGTTAAGAATAAAGTTTGCTACAACTTTTGTAAAAATACTTTTTTCTGAAATGTTTTGAACCCGTTCCGAATCCTGTGATCTACCAACAACAAGATGTAAAAACACGATTTCAACTAAATTTCACCTTTTCCAATTTTTCTCGATATTTATGCATCTAAGAGCAAATTTATAAAAGAGTAATATTGTTCAGAATAAAATTTGCTACAACTTTTGTAGTAAAACTTTCTTCTAAAACATTACGAATCCTTTGCTTTACCAACAACATCAACAGAACGCTCGCCGATATCAGGCGAAGTCATGTACTTTATGTTTTAAGAAATGAATAAAGCACACAGCACTAATGAAAAAATACCACCTACAAATCAGCAAGACAACCGAAACAATGCAGTCATGACATTGATCAGCGTGGAGTATTAAAGTATTAGCAGCGCTTCGGATACAAGTGACTTCCGCTAAACCAGACAAACATATATTTTATGTTCTAGTAAACAAAGAAATCGCTCAGCACTACTCATAAATTATACATCTTCTAATCGCTGAAATTAAGGCTTTGAATTGACATTTTATTTGACCTCCTAAACGTCAAATTTTCTTAAAAACCATCCAGCTTTAAATCCATCCTTCGCAATATCAGAAGATATCACAACCCAATTTTTTATTCGAGTTTTATTGAATCGATATTTGCATTTTGATCATTTTTGTATCTATCTTTTGTATCTATTATATCGAGTCATTCAAGAGTACATATTACATCTTCTCCTTCTGTTACGTCTTAGTGAACAACTGGTGTCCATGAATTAATTTGATTTTATACTCAACCTAAATAAAGTGAAAACCAGGATTTTGCCTAAAAATTTCTCACTAATAGTTAAACAAAGTTTTCATTTATGTATCGCGAACATGTACTGAAAATTCTGCGTATAATAATAAAGACTTATAGGATGTCGAGTTCTTGCATCAGATGAGGAAATCACGGATTTACATGGAGACCAGAGCGCAGGGGAAGCAACTCATAATGAGACCGAGAACAACATGAGAAGAGACTACGCAGCAGTTCAAGGGTCTTGCTAGGGAGAAGGAAAACTTTAAAAGATAGATTCGAGGACATTCCCCAACGCCACGATACTTATTCTTATATTCTTACATAACTAAAAACTACTTCTAAGGAATTTCTTTCCAACCCGGTAGCTGAGATAATCTCGCCAGGTCTCTGTTCTTTTTTAGATGTTTTTGCCATTTCAAGCAGTGTTGCCACACCGAAGAAAATAAATGTACCAAAAATGCGTACTGAACATGAACAAAATGTACTGAATTCTGAGAGGAAATATTGGAGACTTTTTTTTCTTTTAAGTCATAAGTTGAAACAAAACTTGTAATATATATTACTTTTAACACTTTTGAACGATATTTACTACATTCCCTAACAATGTATTGATTTCACTACAATTGTACCGAATAAGAATTTTGTACTGAATTGCTACTTTCACGTACTTTATCCCTGAAGTCGTACTGAATTCAGTACAATTATACCGAAACGGCAACACTGATTTTAAGTTGCTTTTTGTACAGGTGTATTTTGATTATTTCTGGATTTCCGAAAAATCTTTCCATACTAAGCTATGATCACAACGGAGTTGGTATATTTTCTTGTCGTATCTTGGCAATTCATGTGTTCATTCTGTTCTGCGCGTTTGTAACACTTTGATGTTTTTTGATGTCAAAAACCGGTTTTATGATGAATTCGCTGTTCCCTCAGCTTAGCTTTAAAACTAAATTGACTACAAAAGTCTTAGACTTCTTTTGCAATAATTTTAACATACTAAACACTAACTCTACTTACCTACGATCACTAAGAGGATCACAATATTCCACTTTTAACTCCAAACATATACAGAATTTCAATTCTTTCTCGCTTATTGTCACACAAATTTACCATTTCAATAAAGTAAGAATAAAAAAATTAATAAAAACCATTCCTTATCCAAATTTGTAATGATTACTTTTTATGAAACCTCTCACAGCTTTAAATATTTATATTTCGCTTGCTTGTATTTCTTTTTATCCAATTTATACTAATCAATTCTAAAAAAGAAAGAAATACAGGTACATTTTCTCCATTCTTAGTTTTAACCATTTAAATAAATCTTAGCAAATTACCATTAATTCAAGTCAGTTTAGAAGAGTGTCTAATGAACTTAGAACATAAATTCTATCTCATAATAGCCCAAAAGAATTTTTTTATTCTCAATAACCCGTTTATTTCCTCCTAACTGCTTCAATTATAAAATAATTTACGAATTCTGTTGCCGAAAGGTGTTCACGACCTTCAATCTCTAAATAACTGATATTTATTGCCGAAAATAGTGAAGTGATTAAATAAGGAAATGAAATTCAAAATGAATTATTCAAATGCGTTTATTCTTTATAAAAATAATATTAAAACATATATGGGACTAATAATAAAGATCAAAAATGAACTTCAATTTTATCTTTTTTTTTTTTTGAAATATGTGTAACGACATTTATATTCATATGTACATATACATTAAACAAAAACTAGGTAGCTATATTGTATTAAATATTAATTCTATAACAAAATTATATATCTATGTTCAGTTATTCAGTTTCCTCAGAAATTCGAATCTTCATCTGATAAAAACAATTATACAAATAATTACAAATGAACAATATACTTACTTAAAAAGCATTTTCTTATGAAGAAAACGTTACTATAATTATTACAAAATCTACTATATTTTAAGTTACAATTTTTTTTTATCCGTTTTATACAAGTTGAAAATGTCATTAAAAAAAGTAAAATTTTTTTTATGTATGCATCTCGACGTTATTTACAAATTTGTTCTGAATTATTTGGTTCCACAAAAAGTATTGTTATTTAATTAATAACTATACACTGTTTTTATTTCTGTTAACTGTACAACCCAATTGTCTCGTAATCTGCATACTGTGTTTATAACTCCTTTAGAATTGTCCCACTTTTATTTTTTTTTTCTAGTTCAGCTATGAGCAATAATTTACTTTTATTGTGTTGTATAAAAATATGCCGCCTCGTTACTATGAATAAATATTGTATTATTGCTATTCTATGATTAACATTTTTGCTGAGAGATATGTATTTTAAAATGTAAAAAATCGGAACTATATACCAAACAGCAAAATGTTAATGTTAAAAGTTTAATAACCACAGATTTAGAATATGTTATGCACAATTGGTGTTTATTCTTTCTTTGAAAAGAATAACTAATTTTGTTGGTATTTGGGTTAATACTTTACTTATAAAAAAAATAATTACTCAGCGCAAATATATTGCACAGTATTTTTTGATTAATTCGTATATTTTCAGTTCATTAAATTAAACATATCTTCATTATTTAAAGTACCTACTTAATTTTAATTTATCCAATTAACTTTTCAAAGCATAATTTTAGCATTACATATTAATTTATTAAATTACCCATGCTGCATATTAAAAAATAGTATATAATTGATGCTTAATTATGGCAGTGGCAGTATTAATTACCATATTATACAAAATTTCAATTCATTCTTTTTCCTTTCATAATCATAAATTAGTTGCTCATTGCTGAATATCACACGCTTTTTTTATATAAAGAAACTACAGAAAAAAGCCATTTGAAGACATCAGCAAAGTTCTGTTTATTGAACTTAATATGTACAGTTAAGTGTGAAGAAATCGAGAACAAGGGCTTTTCTGTATCGCTATCATTCCCCCTCTATACGCATCTCCCGTTTTCTTTCAGGCACATTTTAGCTCGAGCGAAACACATTCCTGCTGGAATACCGACGTGAATGTTTTGATACAAAACGTAACGTTTTTATTTTTTTGTTTTTATTTTAATATTGTTATTATTATTTATTTTCGAAGCGCTCTGTCGCTATCCTCGCGGTGCAAAATGTGCCGTGACGGCCCGGCTGACTTCTACGTGGTACAGCAGCTCAATTATCACAACACCGTCGACAAGCGTGCATCACTTAAGATATGACTTGTAAAGTAACGTACTTCTACACAAATCTTTTTCAGTTTCAAACAAAAAGTGCAAATCCCTTAACGTTATTTTTTTCATGCGCTGTCTTAGCGGCAGTTGCGATCTTGGTACTGAAAAATTTCCACTTGCACCAACCTAAAAAATTTATTTAAATTTATTAAAACAAAAAATTCATTGAAATAATAAAAATTTTAAAATATTAGTACAATTGTATAATATAAGGTTATAAAGCAGCACAAAACTAATCACAATGTTCTAATCTTATTCATAAATAAAAATAATTGGTTGTTATCATTGGTTACATCTTCCAGAAATCAGATAAAACATATTAAATTTAATTAAAGAGCTTTGAGGATTTAGAAGGTTGAAGCTTAGAAAGTTGTGCACCCCTAAGAGAAACCTTAAAAACTGTGCACCCCTAAGTCAGCTTTACCATTACATAATACCGTCTATCATTCATACTTAAATATATAAGATACAAAGAGTGGGCAAAAAAGTGAAGGGACATTCTGGGTAGTTATGTCAAAAAATTCATGGCGGTTATAAAGTTATAAGAAGAATCACCGTTGTACAACACTGTCAGATGATGTAGAGCAAAAGTGGGCATAGGTTAAAAAATCAATTCAAAAGCACCAGAAGAAATAATTGACTAAAGAACTGTAAAAAAGAAAACAATGGTTTCATGATGAGTGCAGACTGGCTGTTGAATCCAGAAACCAAGAAGAATCCAGACCTTAAATGCTGCAGCGTGAGACGAGAGCAAACAGAACGAAATTTTAATTGGAGAGAAAAAGCATTGCAAGTATGTCGCAAGAAGAAGCGGGTGTAGGAAGAACAAAAGATGAAAGTCATCAAGGAAATGATGGAGATAAAGGATGAAAAGAATGGTTTTGAACGATGATGGTAATTTGATAGCGGAAGCGGTAAGGGTGGCAGAATGCTGGACGTAGTATTTCAAGGAATTTGGAGCTGGGAACTGGTGAGTGTGATGAAGAAGACGGTAACTTGGAGCCTTTCCAATAGTAGGATACAACACCGGAACTTGAACCTACCTGCGCCGAAGTGGCTGAAATCATAAAATCAATGAAAAATCATAAAGCGCCCGGTGAAGACTTGATAACGGCGGTAAGATTGAAGTATGTTGGTGATAATTTAAATGTCAAAGTTGGCTTACTTTCTAAAATATGGTAGCAAGAAAAGATGCTCGACGAATGGAATATGACACTTATCTGTCCTATTCACAAATAGGGTTCAAAACTACAATGCTCAAATTACCGAGTAATATCCCTCTTAAATTAGTATAGTCATATAGTGTTGGCTAAAATTTTATCAGGGAGATTGGAAAAACTCGAGGAAACCGTTTTCGGGGATTACCAGAGCGGCTTCAGAAGGCTATGGTCAACCATCGATCACATCTTTACTATTAGATGCATCTTGGAAATGTCTACCAACTATTTAGTGAGGCCCTAATAAATCTTTTTGCTGATGACACACTTATAGCAGTTGAAGACAGCAGCATCGATTCAGCTACAAATAAAATGAATGTGCTCTTGCATAGCTTGGAAAAATGGCTAATAGTTAATAAAGTAATTGTGAACACGGGTAAAACTAAAGCTATGGTTTTCGGTCAGTGCGGCATTAATTGTTTTAATGAGGTTTCCTTAAATAGTGATGTGATTGAGTATGTAAATATTATAAAATACCTAGGAGTATTTATTGATAAAGATCTCAAATTTAAATACCATATCGCAAATGTTATTGATAATGTTAAAGATAAAGTGAATTACTTTTGTAGAATTTGTAGGTTGTTATCTGTAAACGTTCGAATTGTGGTGTATACGTCATTAATTAGCCCGATTTTTGAGTGTTATCCTACAATTGTTTATTATGCTGGGGAATCGGAAATGCAAAATTTACACATCATACAAAATAGGGCCATGCAAGCGATTTTGGGTTGTAATATGTTTACCAGAATTAATGATATGTTAGACGCATTATGTTTTTATTCTGTGAAAGAGAGATTGTATATGTTAAATATGTGTTTTGTATATAAATTGGTTAATAATTTGTTACCTCGATATTTCCAAGCGTCAAAAGTATCCGACATACATACCTATAACACAAGATCTCGCAATACTTTGTATATTAGACGGGTTAGTTATTCATACTCGCAGGATTGTTTATTTTTTAGGGGGTTTATTTTGTTTAATAATTTAGATAACGAAATTAGATTGACTCTGGAAAGTAGCGATCAGTATTAACCTTGGGGGAACACTACTGAATAGATCAATGCATTATTTAGTCTATGCTGATGATGTATGTCATACATTGGCAAGGATGGAAGGGGATTTATTGAAGAGCATTGCGCAGTTTGAGGAAGAATCAAGAAGAGCTGGGCTTGCTGTTAATCAGGCGAAGACAAAATATATACTTATGACAAGAAATAGAAACCCCAACACGATGCTGGCAGCAATTACAATCGGCCGCTACACGTTTGGAAATGCGCATACATTTAAATATGTTGCTCACTTACTACCGGAAACAACGAAAACCACATACAGATCAAGAAGAGACTAAAAACTAGAAATAGAGTAAAATTCCGGCACTCAGCACTCGCTGAAATCACGAGAACCAAATCCCAAATCTACCGTAATATTGTAAGACCAGTGATGTAGGGAGTGAGACGTCTGTAACAACTTCTTAACTCGTGGGAGCGAAAAGTACTTCGTAGCATATATAATCCCATCTATAAGCAAGGCGAATATAAGATACCGACTGCGAGCTGTACCAGCTATACGAAGAGCCAACACTTGTTGCAGAGATTAAAAGTGCCCGAATTAGATGGCTGGGCATTCTGGAATGAATGCTGAAAGAGGGATGAAGAAAGTATACCACCAAAGGCCACAGGGCTATTTTATTAATATGTGGTGCATTGTATTTATACTTTCTGATTCATCAATAGAAGTAAAACTGGCGACAATAAAAAAATATTGGAAGGACTTGGATAGCAATAAAAATAACTGAAAATACGAACCCAATATAGTTACATAATAATAACTTAATTCAATCACAAACTATAACACATAACTCAAACCAAACCAAATAAACGCGAAAATAGTGTTTTATTAATATTATTGGCATATAAAACATAATTAAAAAAGGTTATGTATTTTTATCTTCAACGCCGACCCACACTGGTGAGTTCAACTTTCAACAGTTGGTGGAAAAAACTAGCGAAATAACCTGATTCATTGGTAGTGCTACGTGTTTTACGTCGTATAAGTTTGTTGATTTATCGTTTGTCGATAAAATAAATCGACCTGCACTTTTCAGCGCATTTAAAATATTAAAAGATTCGTAGATTGAATCTACCGGGCCGACAACGTTTAATTTATAAAGTGAGTTATTCTAAATGAAATCGTTTGTTCCTTCTAGAATAAAATCAAACTCCAAAAATGAAATATGTGAAAAATTGTTACCATGAAGATAAATTAATTTTTGAAACTTTCGAACCTTCAGGATCTTATTGGATGAATTTTTTAAATCTTAAACGTCCACCTTAATTAAATGTTAAACAGTATGTAAAAGTGTCTTATATCTAAGATAAATCGCATCATTTTTATCTTATCAACATTCGCCTGCTTTAACCAATTTTAAAAATTTTATAGCATAATGCAACTTAAGCATATTCTGATAGTAATTATTAACTTAAAAAAGCACAATAAACAAAACAATTCTTCAAAATTGTTTCAATTTCCTTTATATTTATTAACATCTTCATTAATATTGTAAAAGACGATTAGAATTTTTATTGGCTGAGCCAGTAGTTATCCAAAAATATGGTATATCTACTTGAGTATAAAACATGGTTCCGTTTTAATAAAGCAAAAAAACCAGTATAAAATTCATAAATACTATTTTTTCTCTTTATTTGTATCTAATAAACGTTTTCGTAATCTCATAAGCTGCTAATTTGGTGATATTTCTCTTTTCTTCAGAGTATTAAATGCTATAAAAATAATTCATATACTTTGGCAGATATTAGACAACATTAAATTCAATATTTTGCCATATTCTTTTCTTTTAGCCCATATGAATCTGTTGTTTCACTCCAACAGCTTATAATTTTTACAAGAACCAAACTTGCATGCAATCAACCATAGACAATCACAAAATATTTTACAATCCAGCTCTTCACTGCTACTTGACTGATACATTATTTGTAATCTAAATATAAAGCACTGAACAAATAACATAATTAACATTATAACCAATTATTTTGATTTACCAAAAATGTTAAAACCAAGGAAAGTTTTTGCGCTACCTTTAAAATATACTCACCACAAAAACACTATCAAGTTAATCAAATTAACACATTTAAGTATAAATTTATAAAGTTTGTTGTTTAAATTATCTAAAAAATCTACCTGAGAGTTTGTTGAATTTGAATCACCATCCAATTTAATTCTTTTTCGAGGTCCAATGGCTTGTAAAGCCGTCGCATTGGCTTCTCTTTGTCGTAACTCTTCCATTTCCACTCGTTGCATCTCCTTTGCTTTCGCCTTGAGTTTTGCCTGCTCAGGATCTTCTGATTTCGATCTACTCTTTGCTGCTTTAAGCAACATCTCCCGTTCAGTTTCGTCATGTCGTTTTCTCTCAGCTCTATCCAAATCTTCCAAAAACTTTAACTGACCTAGAAACACAAAAAACGTTAAAAATCGTTTTTGTTGGTTAATCAAAACGTACCCTTAATATCAGTTGTAACATCATACCGTGGATCGGATTTTATCATCTCCAATCTATGTTCCGTAATAATAGCCAATTTTTCTATTAAATCTTTTAGCCTTTCCTGTGCAACGTGCGAAACAGCAGCAGCCACTTCCGAACTAGCTTCTTCTATACCATGTTTTACCATAACTTGTCTAATTCTATTTTGTAAACAACCCATATTTAAAAAATACTCCTCTTTGCAAGACCGAATTTGCGTCCCTACATAATCCGTCGACCCCAATATCCTTTGAGTTTCCTCCAACAAATTAACCCCACCCATAGCGGCTACATCATTAATGTCATCATCTCCGGCGTACGCCAGTGAAAATGATTTCTTTTCCTTTTCTTTGGTGGTAATTTTTGAAACTGCTGAGGGGACGACCGGCTTCGTTCCTTGCATCTTGAGATTCGTTACGCCGCCCTTTGCAACGGGTGTCGTTGTCCTGATCGTAACAGGCTGCCGAACTTGACCTGGTGTTGGTACCGTTCTAATCATTGGTTGTCGATTTACCGTTCCAGGTCGAACCTGATTATTTGGAAAAACCGGGTGAAGGGCGGGCGGTTGCGAACTGGAAACGATCACCTGTTGACCGGGGCTGCCTTGTCTTATAGTGGTCACCATTCGAGTTGGTTGGCCTGGCGGTCGAATCGGGGCGACCAGTCTTTGGTGGAGCACTTGTGGTCTTACTACAGTCGTTCCTGGTTGCATTAATCGAACTTGTGTACTTGCTGTAGCCGGCCTAACTTGCGTTTGAACTGTGGGTGTACCAGTAGCTATTGAGAAAACAACGTTTGCTGGCGGTGGACGGATGCCATCTATAGATAACTCTTTTGTTGCCAATGAGTGCCTTAACAAAGGCAAGCTTTTCTGTAATTTGATATCAAAATTAAAATATTCAATAAATTAAAATATCCTAAACAACCTTTAAAAATCCGATTAAACATGGTTGTGGTGAGGCATTCAGAAGACGTTCCAATCTATCACAGAAGTCTTCTGGTTCCACTCTCATGTCAATGAGCTCTTGTATCAACGTTCTTACACTTCTCTCTACGCTTTTCGGTTCTTTGCTTGATAATTCTAACAAATTCGCTAAGAATTTTCTGCACTTCTCTTTGGTATTATCATTCGCTGGTTTCTACACAACCCCAAAAAGTTGGTGAATTAAAATTCTTCATAAAATATTATCCCACTTACCTGTCCTGTTGCTGTTGTTACGTTTGTTACTGCCGTAGGAGCAGGCGCCGTTGCCGCTACAGCATTTGAGGCGATAACAGCAGTTGTAGTCTAAGAAATAGAGAATGTTTTAGTTTGTTTTCAACAATAAATTTTATTAATATTTACCACTGGGACTGTCTGCATACGAAGGGTAACCGGCTGAGCTTGACCAGTTTGTGTTGACACCAAACCGGCGGGTTGAGGCGCCGGTCCCACCCGGAGGAGTTGGTACTGACCATTTTCCGTTTTTAGGAGAAGATGGCCTTGTTGCCCAGGTTGTAATCCGTGGAGGGATTGCAGCGTCAACTGCTGCGAAAATTATAAATGAAAATTCATTGATACACACAACAAATTGGCTCTATGGTCATGCACCTACAACATTCTTTAACAACTACTTTGTGACCACACAACATATACTACTTGGATTTTGGATGTGTTCAATTAAAGGAAATTCGATGAAATCGCTAATATAAAATTAAATTTTAATTTCTAATGAAAATAAAAATTTTTGTACTACTTCATACAACATTAAGCAAAATTACTAGGATTACAATTATTAGGTCATATAATAAATGGAGTTAACAAAATGGATGTAAATTTTGTTTCATTATAACAAATTCAACGTTATTAAGAAATGATTTATAAATATCAAAAAGTTTTCCTATACATGGTGTTGAAAATTGAGTATTAAAATGATACCAACGGTTCTATATTTTTCTTTGTAACTAAGAAATCGATTCAGATTTAAGTCTTATATATTATAAATACAAATAATACAATGTTTTTGGAGTACTTTATTTATATATTCTGATTGTGTTAACTTCCTTTAATGAGCAACAAATTGTCGACAAAAGTCAACAAAATGTGTCACAAATTGTACTTAGGTTGTTAGTTTTGTATGTTGTTATTGTATTTAGAGATAGTTATGGATGTTATCTGCTTTGTGAAGACCGTGACAAAAAGATATTGAAAATTTTGAAAATCAGATTCAACCTAGCACATAAAAAATCTTCATAAAGGATTCTATATTCATCCACATCAAGTACTTGAAGCCAAGAAATAAGATTTTTAAGAGATATCTCAGAAATTTCTAAGAACAATTATTATTCACTTTTTATATACTAAGTAGTTGTAGAAACGAAGATCTATAGAAATTACTGCTGAGGAAGAATTTTAATCTTATCATCTCTGTTAATAGAAGCTTATCATTTCAAACCAAGTCAAACCTCTGAAAAAGAAACAGGTGCAACTCAAAGCTAAAGCATTAAAAAGTACAATACTGACATCACTCAAAAGCATTCCTGAATTGCACAAGAAAAAGGAGAAACGCGATGACATAAGCAAAAGAAGCTAAGAAGATAAAGAAAGTTGAAGAAAAAATCACAGCAAAATCATCTTCCTCAGAATACACTGATTTCTGCATCTTTTGTATGGAATATTTGCCTGTCAGACTGAACCGTAACAATTTAATTGCGTGCAACAAGTGTCGGAGGTTTATGTACCTCAAATGTACTAAGATGAATAAAAGTTACTTCACCTGCAAACATTGGAATACTGATAATGATTCTGATGCTGTATAAGCATGAATTTTGTTTCTGTATATGAGAGAAATCATTTACATTCAAGAATCTTCAATAGCTTTTGCTGTTCTTTAGCTTTATATTGTTTTTTCTACCTTTTTGAAATATTTGTGAAGATCTGAAAAAATCTCAATTTTTAGCAAGATAGAAATTTTTTTCTGCCAAATAACAAATCGAAGATCTCATACCATAAACAGTTATCTAGTGATATAAACTAAATTTAAATTGCTACACTTGTCCTTAGGTGGTTCATTCAAGGTGACATTACCCAATAGAAGACAAAATTTTTTGAAGTTTTATAAAGATTCATTCAAGCAACACAATTATTCTTATACTAATTGCAATTGAGGTTGTAGAAACTGAGTTACAAAATAATTTTACCAAATAATAACAATCTTCACCTTTACCAAATGGTATCATTGCCTAACTAATTTGCTCTTGTGTAACAAAAATTCTGGTGTAAAAACGAATCCTCTAAAAAGAAAATTTTATTCTGCACTTTGAGACGGTATGTATAGAAATATTCAATGTTATTCTTATATCAGGAGTATAATGACTATCCTTTGGGAGCTTTTTAAACGAGTTTATGGGTGAAGAAATGAAGTCACCATTGTTCTAAAAGATTAATTTGAGGTTCTGAGCTGGTATAAACAAGAATTAAATACAGTAATCCATACGAGTGATAAAGTAGAAATTAGATGGTGGAGATCTAAAACAAAAAATATGTTTCCAAATGAAGATCAATGTATTATCAAGCAGAAGAACATCATTGCCTAACTAATTTGCACTTGTGTAAAAAGAAGTCCTGGTCTAAAAACGGATCCTCTAAAAAAAATTTAATCTGCACTTTGAGACGGTATGGATAGAAACATTCAATGTTATTCTTATATCAGGAGTAAAATGGCTATTATTTGGAAGGTTTTCAAACGAGTTTATGGGTGAAGAAATGAAATCACCATTGTTATAAAAGATTAATTTGAGGTTCTGAGCTGGTATAGACAAGAATTAAATACACCAATTAGTTTCCATACGAGTGATAAAGTAGAAAATAGATGGTAAAGATCTAAAACAAAAAATATGTTTCCAAATGTGGATCAATGTATTATCAAGCTGAAGAACATCATTGCCTAATTAATTAGCACTTGTGCAAAAAAAGTTGTGGTCTAAAAACGAATCCTCTAAAAAGAAAATTTTATTCTGCACTTTGAAACGGGATGGATAAAAACATTCAATGTTATTCTTATATCAGGAGTAAAATGACTATCATTTTGGAAGCTTTTCAAACAAGTTTATGGGTTAAGAAATGAAATCACTATTGTTCTAAAAGATTAATTTGAGCTTCTGAGCTGGTATATATGTCGCATGGTATATATGTATATATGGCAAATGGTTGTTTCAGGTAAATAGTTTTTTCCTAGTCAGATACTATCTGCCTAGGCAAATAGTTTTATTCCATTTATTTCAGTTTAAATTCTACTTTCTTAGGCAAATAGCATATGGTTAAAATATTTTCAGGCAAATAGCTCTTTAAACCAAGCCAACCCCAGAAATGCTTTATTTCTTTAAGAGGGGCCTGCACTTCACAGTCACTGTTTTCTGGGCAAGGGATGTCAAAATGCCAGTGTCAGCCCTCGAAATTTTAGTGCATTACAAAAAGGTGTACTTGCTTCAAAAATAAGATGATGTGATAGTAGATGCCATTCCAGCAACAGTTGTCAAAACAAGTAAATTTTTGTATTTAGTATTTAAGTCTTCAAGAAATAAATCGTTTATATGTATCTTTATTAAACTTAATAAAAGTATATGAAACTGTTATGCGTTTTTTCAAAATGATACACAAATAATTTGACTCGTTTGACACACATTACTGACTTTAATTTAAGAAAAGTAGGTTGATAACGACTCTATGTTGCATTGTTGTATCGAAAAAATGGTATTTGCCTAAAACAAGCTTAGACAAATACTATTTGTGTTGTCCAATAGTATTTGCCTAGACATTTAATGATAAAACTGTAAGGAACTACTGTTTGCCTAGGCAGACAGTATTTGACTAGGAAAAAGCTATCTACCTGAAATAACCATTTGCCTGCGACATATACAAGAATTAAATACACCAATTAGCTTGCATAGGAGTGATAAAGTAGAAATTAGATGGTGGAGATCTAAAACAAAAAATATGTTCCAAATGTGGATCAATGTATTATAATTATCAGACTGAAGAACATGATGTAAAAGTTATTTTAATCACCATTAGAAGTAATTTAGTCTTATTATAGTATAATAAGAAGTATTAATATTTAGTCTAATTAAGTATGAGAACTTTGTAGCAACTTATGACACAACTGTTGAAGAAGATATCTTTATATACATCACTTCTTGTGGCCAAATTAAAGCACTATTCCACTATTAAATTATTCTTTGAATAAGTTTCACCTTTGTGAATCTGGATCAATTAAAAATAACTTAGAGTGTCTATTTTTAATATTAAATCTATCCTTCAAAAAGATTTGCTGTGCAAGATAGGCTGAATTAATAAACTTATTTATACTATTCTATTTATATGTGTAATAACATCAAAAAATCAATTTTAAATAAATTCAAGCTAAATTCTCCAATCTTTAAATCCATTGGCTTAGTTCCCTGACATTAAAATTTTACTGCAATTAATAAATATGATTTAAATCGTTTAAAATATATAAATTAATTTTGTTATAAAAATGCAAACTTCATATGGTATGTAATTAATTTAAGAAAATCAAAATTGATAGAATATTTCTTATTCCTTTTATAAATCGTATTAAATATACAAGATTTAAATCTTCTCATGTTCTAATTCCTTAGTTACCAATGAAAATATAATTTAGAAAAACAACATTGCACATCCTGTATTTCCGTAATCATCAAACTTCCAATAAAGTATGTATTATTCATCTCATTACTTTTAAATGTGAAATTGTTGGTATCATTTGTTGTATTTAATTCCGCAACACCTGTAAATTTAAACAAAATTAAAAAGAACGTAAATGTTTTAATAAAATCTGATTTGAATTTGAAGATCCATATCTTTATGATCATTTTCGCCGTGTATTAATATTATTGATCCCAAAAGAATCGTTTTTTGTGTAAATTTAGATTAAGTTTGATAAATAATCAATAACAATCTAGAAACCTCTTCTTTTAAACTTCTTTTGTTTGAAATTTATAGGTTATGTAGTAATGTAAACAAGTACATACACAACATATAAACAAAACATAACCTATAAACTATTACCATAACAAGGTTTTATATGAAGTTTAACAAACAATAATGAAAGAAAAGTATTGCAACGTTACCCTTACAAGAAAAAGAATATATTAATCACATGTTAGTAGACATAGGACATGTTATAAAGTTGTCCAAAAACGTTGCGTACACTTTTTATAGATTTTTGTGAAATATACAAACGTTATAATGTACAAATAAGTAACAATATAAATGAAAGGTTTTAATTATGTTTAAAAAAGGCGATTAAAACCCTTCATTCTATGGTGTGTACTGCAACTTACTGGAGCTCCCGGACGGGCCCCAACAATCGGCGGCGCGCTAAGTACAACACGCGCCGGTTGGCCCTTAGGCGATTGAGCGGGAACTCCGGGGGGCCGCACATTAACGACCTGGAGATTGGGAAGGACGTTGGGAGTTTGGGTCGTGGGACTACCTACATTATTAACCTGTGGCACTGTCGCGGTCATCGGCACTGTCACTAGTCCGGCTGCCGAACCCGGCGCTGCACTAGTCTTAATCACTATCGCTTGCGGTTTCGCCTGTATAGTCTGTACTGTAGTGGTAATCGGCTGTAAGCCTATCGTCCCGTTGGGTAAATTCTGAGTTGGAAAAGGTACACGGTTCGTAAGCACGGTCCCCGTGCCGGACATAGCTTGTGAGTACACTATCTTAACACCTTCGTTGACTTTGTCAGCAATGGTCACCTGGGCTTGATTAACAAAGTTGCCCCCCGGTGTCTGTTGTATAGCTCCGGCGGCCACTTGGGCCGCAGTGGCCGTTATAATTGTTCCTGGTAGTGAATTATTGGTAAGGATTTTGGTACCGTCCGCAGTGGTTACCACGTTAACTGATTCCCCATTAGCGATGGCCCCATGTTTCTGTGACGGGACCGCCGTCCCGCCGTTTACGTGGTTCTGATTTAGCACCGGTGCCGAACTGTTTTGGTTCGATGCTTGGGACGTGGAGGTACCGAGCTGGTTCTCCAAGGAACCCACCAGTTCGCTCACGGCTGATTCATCGATCTGTGTATTGAGAGCTTCCTCGAGAAACTTAGCAGACGCCATTTTCCGAGTGCAAACTGTAAACTGAACCGCGCATGCGTCTCGTCCACACTATTTATTATACCCACGATGCGTTCTCCTATCGCACGTTTCGCGTTCATTTCACATTTATTACTACCCCTTCATAGTACGACTTTTCTCCCGTTTCTTAAGTACGTATTTTGCTAATTTGCTCGTTTTTCCCAACTTGTGATGACACTTCCTTTTTTTTTGTTAATTCCAACTTCTTATTTTAATTTTTATCACGAAATAATAAACCTACTTTATTAACCTAATTATAGTTATCGTTTATTTACGATTCTTAACGGTTTTATCAGTTTATAACGTTAAAAACCCAACGCGACACGTGTAATTTTCTAGTTCCTTTTAATGAAACACATTTTAAGTTGGCAACGAACCAACATTTTTTACATTCCAAATTAACCAAAATACACTCAAACATTTAAAACAACACAATAAAAATACATTTTATTTAAAAATAATGTTTATTTTTTTTATTAAACAATAAAAACATTTCCGAGGTTCCATTTTGACTTTGATTTTCTTCAGTGGCCAACTTCATTCCGTTCGATTGTGAAATCCATACGCTTGGGGTTCATCACGTGATGTTATTTGGAATTTTTTTACAACGTCATGAATTTCTATAAAAAGTACTCAATTACAATTAAATACGGAATCGTTTAAAACTTATTAAAGAAATACGTAAATATCTAGTTTTTTATTATAAAGTTATTTTTTTAATCATTTGAAGCATTTTTATTTTTCAATCTTTATTGACGTCACATTGACGTTTGTACTTATAATAAATCAATGTTAAAAAAAGTCCTAAATTTTAAGCTTATATAACAAAATATCTAATTATTTTCATATATTTATTTTTGAATTAATATATATAAAGAAATATGTTGTTAATAAATATTAAATTAAGATTTAAATTTTTATAATATTTGACAATTATACCAACCGCTGACAATTTATTTTCATTTTGACAATAATGTCATAATAATGTGTATACAAGTACCAACATACATTTAGTTTCAATTAAATTTCTGATAAATGATTTCGTTTGAATAAGAGCTAATTATTATAAGAGAAGTTTAATCTTAAGATATAATTACTATATAATTCCTTACTATCCCAATTTTAGGTCCAATTTGTTTAATACGTTATTTTGTAATATCATTAATAACATTTAATTTAAAAAATAGAAATCATGTTCTTCTTGTTGTTCTTTCGACTAGGGATGCATCCTTGTTTGCCAAGCCTCATGTTTGGACTTTACTCCTCAGACGAGGAGAACCAACTCCGTGCCCATTTGTTGGGCGAATCGTCCTTGTGGTCTTTTTCCTTTCGGTCGTCCATACATCCATATTCTGGCCAATCTCTTCTCATCCATTATTGCCACATGCTCTTTCCATGTTTTCTTTCTTACTTTTGTCCATTTTACTACATCCTGTATGTCACATCTTTCTCTGATAGAGATGTTGGTCTGCCTATCTCGCAGTGTAACATTCAACATACATAGATCTCAACACTTTGTTTAGTCTTTTTTATTTCTGCTGTCGTCTCGGTACGATATGTAAGTATGGATCGTACCATGGCTTTATATATTTTCATTTTTCCTTCTACACCCATCTATTTGTTCCGCCATATAGTGTCCCTTAGACAGCCTGTCATTTATGTCAATCTTGTAACTTGTGCTTCCTTACATAGATTTCAATAGTTTGTAATTTCTACACCTAGATATTTAACGTGCATAACTTGTTCTATTATAGAGTCTTGAATTTGTAGTTTGCATCGTCTCGGTTCTTTGGATATTACCATAAATTTCTCTCATAAATCTCCGTTGATATTTTCATATTGTGCTTTAACATTTCATTCGTAATTATAATAATATAACAATATTCAATCAAATAAATTTACAATTTATTTTTATATCATAACATTTACAAGAATAAGAAACCTTAGAGCTTTTAAAGTTAAACATTTATTTTTGATTGATTTCAAAAATCTCCCTAATTCGAAAGAAGAGTCATGTTGACTCTGTTGGAACAAAACAGAGTCACCGTGACTCTTCTTTTATCATGTAACCAAAAAGACTGGAGGAATCATGTTGAAAGGAAGAATCAGGAAAGATTAGCAAAGGAAAACCAAACACCAGGCCACTCCCAGGAAGACCACGTAAATGCTGGCGTGAGAGTTGGACGAGGAGGAGAAATGGAGAACAAGCAGGGCTAGTCCTTAAAGTAAGAAGAAGAAGAATAAATGCTGTCAGATGCTCTCATTAAATAAAATTTAATGAAAGCATCTGTGATTCATACAAGATACAATAACTTGGTGAGATGTTTCTCAAGCTGGTATGTTTTACGCTTTGTGTTTTAAGGATCTATGATTAGGATTTCATCTTCTTACCCATTCCAACCACTAAATTTTAACTTCTCCTCAAGTATATAATGCAAGCTTTTATGCCTGTTGATGAACATGAAGTATCTATAATAATTAATAACATTAAAACTGTAGCGGTGGGTTCTGATGGTATCTCAATCTGGATGATTGACTTGTGTACCCCTTTTCTCATTCCTTATATTACTCACGTAATAAACGCTGCTATTCATCAATCAGTTTTTCCGGATGCCTGGAAGATGGCTGAAGTAATTGCGTTACCTAAAGTATCTTCCCCTTCTGCCCTAAGGGATTTTAGATCGATCAGTATCCTACCAGTAATCTCAAAAATTTTAGAGAGAGTCTTGGAAAGGCAACTTAGAGCACACTGCGAAAGTTATAATATACTGCCAGATCAACAATCTGGGTTTCGTTCGGATTTCAGCTACGCAAAAGCTTTACTGAACCTTGTTGATGAGATATTTGCTTCTAGAGAGGCCGGGCAAGCCGCACTTTTGTTATCGTTGGACTTCACCAAAGCATTTGATACAATAAATCATAATATATCTAAACTTCATTATTTTGGTCTTGGAAATCAGGCTATAATTTTGATAAAGTCATTTTTGTCGGATAGGTCTTAGGTTGTGAAGATTAATAGTCAAATATCGAGCGCTCTATCTGTTATTCGTTACAGAATTGGTATTTTTCATTTCTTTGGACATGTCCAAGGCAAGGTCTATAGAACATAAGGTTCGATAAGTATCGATTATTACCCCGCAGATTGACATCACTTGTTCGATACAGTCAGAGTAAAGAGTTGAGTAAAAGATAGCCTATACTGTGGTATGGTCTATATAAAATATTTAAACCTCGCATCGTGTTGTTCATAGAACCAGCTACGTCACTGACCCACCTTGCCTCTCAGAGGAGGAGAATCGGCATTGGGTAACCTTATGTTCTATAGACCTTGTGTCCAAGGTAAGCTGTCTTCCTCGTTTTCACTATGTGAAGTAGATCCTTATCCTTGTTCAACCTTCGCAGCACTTCCTCGTTGCTCGTGTGCGACGTCCATGGGATCTTTAGAATTCTTCGGTACGTCCACATTTCAAATGCTTCTATACGATTCATATAGCAGAGTTGACCATGCATAACACTTTATGAGTCTTGGCACAGAGTGGTTTTTTAGCAGCATCCAATTGTGTGTCGCACAGCCCTTTTCTGAGTGCAATGAAATTTTGCCTTATCTTACTTCAATGTCATGTATCTGAAACGATCAACCCTTTTCAATCTCACTCCGTCCACTCTCATAGGCATGGGGACGATCAAGTTGCAGGATATTAGCATTACTTTTGCTTTTTAACTATTGAACTATTTGCATGTCCTATTTACTCTGTTTATTATATTTTGTAATCGCACAACTGCGACCAATACGATGTCATCTACATATCGGATGTTCGATATATTAACGCCAATTATCTTTATTCCGTCGTGGCAATCCTTAAGTGCCTCAACAAAAAAAAACATTCTAAGTAAATATTAAATAGTGTGGGAGACAGGACGCATCCCTGTCTTACTCCCTCATAGATGTCAACAAATACAAATTTGTCATGTAGTTATTAAATTTGGCAAAACGAAAGAAACGGGTTTCTCTTGATAGTAACTTCTCATGACCGAAAATCTCACTTCTCAGCTCCATTCTTCTTCTTTTCTGGCTTTCGACTTTTGTCGTCTGCCTCTACTGTCTGGTTTCTGAATTGCTCTGCATGTGGATTCCCTTCGTGACTGTACTGGACTAAACTACTTTGTTTCTTTTTCAGATTGCTACGAACTGACTCCTCATTTTACTTCTCTGAACTGCACTGAAAAAACTGTTCCGTCGAACATTGAACTCGAACTCTTAACTGAACTTTAACTCAAAACGCACTCTACTACGAACTGACTCCTTGGAAACTACTCATTCCGTCGAATTATTTCTCTGAACTGCACTAGAACAATTCTTGCGTCGAACTCTAACTCAAAACTCCCTTTAGCGCCTTTACACCTTCCGCCTAAATCCACTCTTGGAAGGCGTGGAACTTTCTCGTCTTTTCCTCCTTCCAAGATTTTAAAGCGTTCGCTTCGAACGCTCTTAACCTAAAAAATGGTTTCGGAAAATGGTTTTGGAAATAAAGATCAATCAATAAAATGAATCGAACCCGCTTAATTTGTTATATACACATGATTAGGTTCATAAATGATTAGTTCTAGAATTGTTCAAGTATGTACTAAGGTTTTATGAAATTAATTTCCCCCAAAACCAATTTACCCTTCTACTAATTGTAAATATAAATAATTTGAATGCATAACACATGTTTGCAATTGAAGGAATCCAGAACTTAATACATTTCTAATACAGCCCTACTGATGGGTCCTGCTTTTCTTGATTTTTTTGCAAATATTGGCTACTCCAGTTAATTTTTTAGTTAAGGTAAAATCGAATAAATAAAACACAAATTAAAAAAGCTTTATATTTTTATTCTATTACAACATAAAAGAAACAACAACTATTAATAATTTTTGAAATGTTTCAATCTATATAAAGCGACAGTAGACTTTTTATTTCCCAGTGCAAAATATCCACTGCCAGGAGAAAAGTTTGTAACTGTGATGTGTCCCAGTTTTGTACCAAAACTGGGAAAATTATTAAACACAGACATGCTTCCTAAATGAAGTAATCTTATTGAAGATTCGATATCCATGGAAGAAAATGAAAGTATTTCAGAGGAAGAATTAAAATTTAAATCTAATATTCCTGTGGTAAGATTCATGGCAGTTTTCATTGGTTTTGGAATTTTATTCGATAATACATCTTCGGTATTATAAACATTAACAACTCCTTGTAATGAACCGGTTGCTAAAAATTGATTTGATTGTGAAATAGTAATTTTGCTTCCTTGGAGACATCCTTCATCAATCCATTTATGTCGAACTCTTCTAGTGTTTATATCCCAAATGGTAACTTCACCAGAATTTGAATGTCCATACAACAAACTTCCAGTTGGATTAAAACATAACGAGGTAACTTCAGAATCTTGTTTTAATAAAGCAATTTGTTCTTTAGTAGTTGTTGATAATAAATGAACTTCACCAAATTTTCCCGTTATAGCCATATATTTAGGATCTGGTGATATTATAAACTGTTTACATTGAGTTATACCATGTGGTAAAGGAATTTTTAATGATTTGGTTGCTAATAAATCATATGAGTATATATGAGGATGCCTAGAACCAAATATAACCTCATTTCCATTGCTGACAAATTTTGCAGTGAAAATCGGGAATTTTGGAAAAGAAACTGTATGTAATTTACTATTTTTTCTACCATTAACAGCAAATAAACTTGCAACACCTGATGTTCCAGCAACTAAACCAACACTTGAAGTAGGATGAAATTCAATTGCATTAATATAAGGACCCTCAATGTATGTTTCACAATTTAAATCTTTTACTTTTTTATATTCCAAAGTACTTTCAGATAATTTGTCTGTTTTAACATTTTTAACAAACCCACAAGTTTGTAAAAGTTCATCTGAATCTGAATCATCGTCTTCTTCTTTAGTTAATCTAGCCCATTTTGGTGTTCCAGCGATTGAAGTGAATTTTTGTTGCAAAACCCCCAAATAATCCTTTCTTACCGAACTAAGAGGTTTACCTTTTCTTCCTTGAACTTCAAACGCGGTTCCAATTTCAATGCCATCATCCTCTTCATCAACCCAAGCCGGAGAATACGCTTTTTGATCGCTATCATCACTATCGGTCTCTCCAACGCCAGAATCAATATCTTTTCTAGACGGAGACTCCTTTTCCGCCTCCTCTAAACTCGTTAATATGTTTAAATCGCCGCCGAATAATATTTTATTTAAATCCTCTTCTTCCTCTTTCATTTTATGTTTAGCCGCTATTACATCTTCTTCTGAGTCGTGATTATCATGTTTCCGCTTTCTGTTGTATTGGGACATGGTTATTTGGAGGTTTAATTTACAATCACAAACGTGCCATTAAACGTCAGATTTTGACGGCGATGTAAGTATGGCTGTTCGATTTGAAGTTAGAATGTTAAAAGCAGTGTTGCCAAATTTTCGATGTAATTGTATAAATTTAGATTTATTCCTTTTATAATTACGATTTAAAATAAAAATGTTGGGTTAATTTGAGTGGCTATTATCTTTTAATTGATTTAGGTAATATTTTAAATAAATGATGTTGTTTTAATTTTTAATGTATGAGTAATGGAAATATTTTTTTTTGTTTTAGTGAGAGTACGTTCAGTAGTGAACAGTGAAGTGAACGTTTAGTTGTCGCGAGAAAGTGTGGTGATGTGGTCCGAAGAATTTAATTTTGACAGTTCGTTTTATTTATATCCGTAATAATAGATAAAATGGTAAATATGATTTCGTTTGTAAATATAATCTTAATAAATTTATAAACGTGTCCTCGTTATGATTTAAAAAAAGCTCTGTGCGTACTTTGTGCGTCGTTACGGTGACCATAGAATTTAGTTTAGCTTCTATAAAATAGTTACAGATGTTTACCTGAAAGTATGGAAAAATACCCGTTAAGAAAAGGTATTCAAAGTAGTACACAACCAAAGCAAAGACCTTCCTATCAATCGGTGGGCGTTAAGGTAAAGAAATCTTCAAAGAAAGTTTGGGTGCTAAAGTTTTATTTTTTTAAATTTCGACTATAAGTTTGATAAAATAATTTTAAGTATTAGTCACCACTGTAAAATTATATGCAATGCACTTCTTTATTATAATAATTGCGTGTATCTTGGATGCTTTTTTAAAAAACTTATGTAAAGTACTTTTTTATAGAGGTATTTAGATGATATTAACCATATAATATAACTTTCTTTGTTGGCATGTTTTTTATGTAATAATTGCTGAGTAAAAGTATAATCTAACTTATCAATAAAGTAATAAAATGAAATTGTTGACACATTCCAAAAGGAAAACATTGTTCATCAAAAAATTTGTTGAATCATTTAATGAATCAAAAATCTTGTAATTTTTGGTAACTTCGCAGGTTTTCTTTTAGAATATTAATAGATATCTTATTGATAGACAATTTTTTCAGATGAATCGATTATCTAAACTTATAGAGCTAGATAACAACAAAAATATAATATTATATTAAAACCATCAAGTGCATTTACTTACTATTGATATTTAATATTGTAATACTAGATTGTAATCTACCCATCAAGGAAGCCTTCTTAAGATATCAAATTTCGGTCAGAGGAGTTTGTTCTATCTAATTTTTATTTTCAATTTAAAGCAAAAAGTATATTTTCAAGTAGCTTTCGTTTGTGGGAAGTGAAATAATAAAGGAAAGTTGATTTTGTTAATCTTTTCTCTTTTCAACGTTTGATACTTCAACCTGTAAAAAACCACAATGGGAAATATTTTCTCTATCAAATTGCTTAGAACAATGTTTACGTCATATTTACGATAACAAACTTGGTGTTTACCAAATATTTTGTACGATCACTGAAGAAGAATTTTGTCGGTACTAAATAAAATTACATCTTTAAATTTAACCAAGAGAAGTTGATTACAATGTTGAAGAATCTGCAAATACACCAGGATGTTCAATTTGTAAACGTTGAAATTCTTGATTATACATTGCGTGCGTAAAGTAGCGGACCTAGGCGATAAAATCAATCAACATTTAAATTTTTTGCAATTTTTTTAAAGTCCCAGTTAAGGTTTCCTCAAATCTTTTGCGAAAATTGGGTGTGCGACTTTCTTGGCTAATTTGGATTTTGGATAGCCAAACTAGTAGTATAGTCCACTCAATGTAAATGTTTCCTCCTTGTTAACATCTGCATGAATTTGGGCTACATTCCTAACACCTGGAAAGAAGCTGAAATATTAATATTTAGGAAACCTGGCAAAAATAAACGTGAAATCGAAAATTACATACCTATTAATCTACTTATTACCATGGGTAAACTTTTTGGACAAACTGTATTTGGAACGTTTACGATCCAAAATTATAATCATATCTAATATTTAATACGGGCTTAAAATTGGTCACTCAACAGTACATTAACTCACAAGAGTGACGGAAATAATAGAGTGAGGATATGAAAATAAACAATATACAACAGCTGCTTTTTTCGACATAACAAAAGCCTTTGATTCAGTATGGATATATGGTTTAAAATATAAGACCCTTAAAACTAATATACCTGAATACCTCAAAGCCCTAATTTTCAAGGCTTATATTTTTGATTTAATATCAGTTTACATGACATTCCGATTAATAAAAATGTCCGAAAAGCCTTATTGGCAGATGACATGGTTATAATCATCCAAAATGAAAATCTAGAAAAATCCATTCAAGATCTCCAAAACTAGGTTAATGAGATTTATAAATGGTTATTGACTTGGTGCTTTCACTTAAATCCAAGTTAATGTGAAGTCAAAATATTTACCCTTAGACAAATTAAAAATCTTACAAGAATAATAATCGAAGATCACCCTTTAAATGTGAATCCAAAGATAGCGTTATCAAATATCTGGGAGTATATTTGGACCAAATACTTACACGGAAGTATCATATTAATAAAAAATTAAACGAAGCGTATGCAAAACTTTATAAGTAAGAACTTTATCTCGTCATCAACAGAAAATTGAAACTAGCGATCGAATGTGCAATGCTGCTATATAATCATTAATAAGACTTGTAATAACCTATGCATGCCCAGTTTGGAGCTCAACAGCTAAATCTAATATTAAAAAAATTCAAGTGCTACAAAATAAAATTCTAAGAATGTCTGAAGATGCTCCATGGTCAAGACTATAACAGAACACATTACTAAAATAACTAAAAAATATTTATAAGACCTCCAAAAGTGTCCAGGTGCACAAGAACATCAATTGGGAGATATTGGAATCCATAGGCGACTAAAACGGAGATTTCCACAAGACATATTTATAGGAGAAGACTTAGTAGATAGCGAATAGATTCAGGATGACATTGTTAGTTCCCCCACTATTATTCTATAATTAATTTCAATTGTTATCAAAGCCATGAAGTAACATTTAATGTTGAACGCTGTTAATAAAAAAAAACTAATCCCAACTAGTCTCAACATACTTTGGCTAATAAGCTGGCAATCAGGATATGTTGCATTCAAGACTACTACTTAACTACTTACTAAATCAGTTTTTGACACTTAGGAAATTGTTTAAATTAATTGGTAACCATAGTTACTCATGGCTACTGCTATTTTTGAGTATGCACCTTAAGGTACTCATGTAGGAAAGCCAATAAAGAAAAAAGTAATAGGGCGTTCAAGGTTGTAGTTGTTAGGTTTAAAATCTTTCACATACTAAGAACCTACTTTACTACCTCTTTTCAATCGATTCATATACAAGGTGACCAAATTTCAGTGATGTTAAAGAAAATAATCAACTTCAGTACCAACTGCAATACCTATAACAAGTGTTTCTAAATTAATTCGAATGATTTTAAAGTGTGATTTTACAGCAAAAAAAAAAGTCCGACAAATATTGTCCGATCTCTAGACTCCACCGTTTCCGTTCCTTCCATTCGCCCTCATTGACATTCCTGTCACTTATCGCTCTTCTTACTCCATCTTCCCAGCTCTTTTTGGGTCTTCGTTTGCACGCTCTGGTTGGTTTTTGTCAATATCTTTAATTATTGTCTCTTGTAACCCCATTTGTATAGCTTAGTCTCAGGGAATTCATTTATGGTAAAGATCACTTCTTCATCTTGATCATTTATTGCTTCCCATGTTGATATCTCTCTCCTGCTCTCCTTAAGCTACGTCCACACCGAAAGGAACACATTGTGTTTAGGTTGCTTGTTCCTGCAACTTGTATCTCAAAGTTTCTGGATGTTCCTTATTGTTTATGGTTGCAAAGAAATGTTCTTACAAGTTGCTTGTTTCCGTATTTAGCGATAAACATCATTAGGAAATTTAGAAACATTGTAAACATTTTTGTTTCGGACGCAGTATGGACATGTAATTTGTTTCCAAAACTTGTGTGCCGAGTAGCGTAAAGATCTACGAAAAGCAGAAAATTGAGATATACAAAAGTGCCGAGTGTTTGTGGAATCCATGGGATAAAAATTTTAAAGATCGTTACAAAAAACAAGATATGCGGGTGGAGATTAGTTATGAGTTAAGCATTCATATTATATCAATACTACTCATACGACTAAAGTTCTTTATATTTCCATGGTGGATCCTGCTATTAAATCATCTTTTTTTAATGAACTCATAAGGCGCTTTATGTTTCTTTGGTGTGGACATACCATTACGTACTAGGATTTACACTGTTTGCTGGTTACAAAACTATAATCATTATAGTCAGTTGGCATAAACTCTTCGAGAAGTGTGCTTTAGTTCAACCCAAATAGTCTCTCACTCTCACAAACATAAGCTGCGTTTTTCAAGGTTGTAGTAGGTTTATCAAAATTTGAACTAGAACTTCTCTTTAAGTGGCCTAGCATTTCTTCTTAATTTCCTTCATCGGTTCAACCAATGACTGATAATCGGGGAAGAAATCAATAATTTAGAGATTTAACTATTCTTGCTGAATGGAATATTCTCCTATAAATATCATCCATCCTAAATGAATTATAATTTAAAAGATAATTAGTTGTGTTAAATATTCGCCGCTAACTTCATTTGCATCCACCTAAAAAGTTCTGATTTCTTACATTTTTGAAGCTTTCATCTGCATACCATATTCTTGAGGTAATTTGTGATGTTTTTAGATTTCTAAATTCTGCGTCTAATATGGTCTTTTCGTTCATCGCTTTTTATGCTTTTTCTCTTGATTGTTCTAAGCGTAAAATGCATATTTGAATAACACCTTTAGAGTTTCTTCATGGTCGCGGTCTTTCAAGTAGTATACAAAAATGACATACAATTATATCCTGCAATTACCATTGTTTTTCTGTGTTTCTAAGAATCCAAAACAGGAAAATTTAGTCGCAAAATGCATCTGGAAAGTCTTGCCCATAAAGGCCAAAATGTTTCTGACATGCGATGGAAGACATTAACTTAAATGGTTATGTATTGGTCAATTTCAATTATTAAGAAGATTTTCAACATGATTTGTTGTGCTGATTTTGTTATGCTGTGATTCATTTAGAGATGTTTGAGATGACATTTATGAAGTTCAGTATTTTTCTTGAATACTATCCATTTCTGTCTGCATTACATTTCGTATGAATAGAAAGGTTACTTTAAATTTTTAAAGAAACTGCTGTTACTAAAATTCACTTAACATTCCTCTCATTTTTACTTCCTCTACGAACAAGTTGATATGACTCATAAAAGTAGAACAACCGTTATTCTAATTTGGTCTATCAAACTCGATAGTTGGGACTGTTAAACCAATTTCTAATTCGCCCACGTTAAAAATGCCGGAAATAAAGAAAAAAACAGATTTTTTATCAATTTGATATCGATTAATTAATCATTTCATTTCATTTCAAAATAGAGTGTAATAAAGTGAATTGAAAAGTTTAGAAATTTTAGAATTCTTGTTTCAAACGTCCAAGCTGTCATCAATCATGATATATAATATTATGTGTCGCAGCGGAAAAATATATACTCACGTGCTCATAATTGTTATCACAACTGATTTATAATAAAAAAATTATGACTCAACTGGCTCAAAAAAATCTATCTCTTTAATATTATTTCTGTAAATAACCTCTAAAGTCTTTGGTTTTAGTCTACGTATTGTTGTAAATAGCTTAGTGTAATTGGTGATAATAACATCTAATTTTTCACATTAATTCTTCTTTAACACTTGTCTGTAATTAAAACCTTATTGGTAATGTGTTATAGCGGAAAACGATTTGCTTAAATTAACATATTTTTAGCTTTGTTTGTCTTTCTTTAACATAAATATTAACAAAGATTTTTTAATACAAAGTTATTGTACTTGTAATTTTCATCATGACAAGCCCAATTAACTCCGATTCATTCCATTTACACCTTAAATTGCCGTGACAATCAAATCATAAATACTTGACTGAAATCGTAAAAACAATATCACACATTAAACAAACAGCTTAATAATTTGTTTTTATAAAATAATGTTATTTCCAGAACAAATTTTCTCTGTAAACACTCATATAATCGTGTTTCCGTGTTTTATTCATAGTGTAGGTGTGACATTGTGACGCAGTAAATCACAATTACGCCGATTACCGCATCCTTTGGTACTATTCACAGAGCGCCAAGAAAGGTCGTCTTTTTATTATTTTCCTTTTTCCCTAAAAGAAAAGAGGCGTCTGTTTCTCCGTCGGGGTATTGATTTCTCTGCCGTAGAACGTGAACCAGTATGCGCGTCGGCGTCGCGTCGCTCCTTTCAATTTCGCACGCGCGCGCGTGTTTCCTTCCCCTGTCGGCTTGCACATGCACCGCTAACAGAATCTCTTTCTATTTTTTCGGTCGTTTTTCTCGGTTCCGACAACGCAGTATACGAAAGGCGCCAGGTCGTCGTTTTCCTCGCCAACGGATGACGATATGACCGACATCACGACGTCTGGCCATTCGGATCGTTCGACAATCGGTCCGCAACCTGCAGAAGATGAGGATGGAAATACAAATTGTAAGTAGATTAGAATAGCACTGGTTGTTATTATTATCTTATAAAGTTAGAGAGTTGCGGAATTAGAAAGGAAAATTTTGAGAGTTGCGGTTGTAACATTGCCAAAAGTAACTTTATTAACTTTATCGCGGTATTTCTATCTCCTTTTTACTTGTATTAAACGACTAGGAAATAACTAAGTTTGGATTTGGTTATGTTTACTTATATGCAAGATCAAAACGTGATACAAATGTATTTAGATTATTTTAAAGTTTCACTTCCTGTACAGTTTTTGTATAATTTATTTTCTTGGTAATGATTATATTATCATTAATAACAATAGATTTTTTTATAGCGTAGGTTCGTAATTTGTCATGTTTTTTTATGGTTGTAACAAGAATAAAAAGTGATATTAGCTTTAGTAACCACTTTTTTTTTCAACATCAAGTGATTAAAGTGAATATCAACAGTAAGTTATTCGCGAAATTAATCGATTTTAATGAAAATATAAACAACTGCAACTGCTGTGATGAAAACGGACTAAATTAATGTAAATATTGACGAAACTAAAGTTGGCGCTTTTCATCGAGGAAGCAATTGCATCCACTTCTGCTTTTACTTCGAACGACGCTGCACAATCAGAAGTCGAGTTGTTGAAGGCAGTCTTGCTTTCCAATTTAATATATTACAGTAAAAAAGTAAGCACTAAAGTGACATTTCTCTAAGTCCCAGATACTAAACAAAAATTGTAAAAGCAATGAAATAAGCTCAGAGAGATTAAGTACACCCAAATTGTAATTTGGGTGTACTTAATCTCTCTGAGCTTATTTCATTGTCTTTCATGTTTACACGAAATCGATATTTTTAATACCCACGTGTTTACCTAAACTTCATTGTATCTCTGCTGTTTTTATAATTAATAAATAGTTATCCTAGAACTGTGATAGAATGGCGAAAGAGAAGGCTGATATAAACGAAAATTGATCATCGACCGCCATCAATCTGCATTGCCGTGATATCGCCTCTCCGGACGAACGTTGTAAAAATGAACTGAATAAATTTCCGGTTTTCCGTCAAAATATACCAAAAGCACTTTTCTGTTATTATACCTGGAATTCTTTTTGCATCAATTTTGAAAATCAATTCATACATTACTGCTCTCTACGTATAAAGAGTATATTATTTTAGAATTATTTTTTATTTACTAATTGTCATAACAATTTGTTGTGTTTGGTTAATTTACAAATTACAATAATGGCTATTCCGAGTGAAACTGTTTCGCCACAATAGTCAGTTTGAGTTCTTCATGGAGATGCTTATTCCGCAAATAATGAGGCGCGTTGATGGCCATCTTGCTGGTTATAAATATGAGTTGCAGAGGCGTAACTCCACTTCATATACTACTATCGTTTGAAACAGTACCATTAATTCATAGGTAATCTGTAAGAATTAATCCATCGTTACAATTTTCTTAAGAAACAAGTTCAAAAGTGACGAAATCATAGAATGTTCGCAATATATACTTAAGTAATCTATTATTAACTAATTGCTGAACTATGTATGCAAGCAAATATGTAATTTTTAAACTTTTCACTTTTTTTCACCTTTTAACATGATATTTACATGATTTTATCTCCCTGCATAATATCACACCACTTGGAATTCCTAAACGGACACACGCACACTGCTCAACAGCAGTTTATATGGGCAACCCAACCGACATATCTATATGATAACGGCTATCCTATGGCTGCTCCGAAATATGATGCTTGTTCTGTCCTGTACGTGATTTTACGAGCTGCAGCTGAGTCGGTGTGGTACTTCACTTTAAGAAATGTTAGCGTCACATTCTTCATCATTCGAATTGCCTAAATCCTTGATAAATTTTGAGAATATATAAAAATAGAGTAGTCAGCAGTCGCAGAACATTGCCATAGAGAACGATACCATAAAAGAAATCAGTTGTGATCCATCATCTCCTTAAAGACTACTAAAGACCTCCTACAAAAGACCACAACTTGATTTGAATAGCCAAACCTAAGCTGTAATGAATATGCATCATTTTCTGATAAACTTCACCGTTATCTATAAGTTCGTGGGCTTTCAATGCCAGAGTTATTTGAAATAAAACTAAAACTAGAAACTACCGTGCGTCAAGGCTTACGGCATAACCCGGCAGTTTCTAGTTTTTGTTTTATTTCACCGTTATCTGTTCTTTGCTTAATTACTATTCTCAATATTCTGACAATGCTTGTAAAGAAGATTGCTTTCTTGGTTTATTTTCAGGTACTTTATCGTAGTTGTCACAGATCTCAGGAATTAACATGCTAGATAGTCTGACTTTCGCAGAACATCATTAGAACATCATTAGAACATCATTATTGCTTTAATGAATCTGCATCATTTTCTGATCAACTTCACCGTTATCTATAAGTTCCGTAGGTATTCACCGTAGCATACTTAATTTGACTTTTTAGGACAGACAAATTGGGACTTAATTGTGATACATCTTCCAAATCAAACCGAATCTATTATAACTTTTATTTGCCAAACTAGTTATGAACGACTTGTTGATATAAGCTAGTATGTGTATCATATTATTATCATTCTATCTCACGATGTTGGGTTTCGGATCCACCTCCTGGAAGTGTTCATACATATTTCTAGATATTCTCCCTATTCAACGCTACGTCTTCTATTACTTTATCTCACTGGATATTGGTCTACTACTTTTTCTTTCTGGTTTCGTATCGAGCATTCTCTTTGGTATTCTTACCATATCCATTCAAATTAGTCCATCTTAGTTCTTTTCTGAACTAAGGTCTGATCTTCGTTTCATACTCTGTCTCTTCTGGTCTTTCCTTCTGTTTTTCGCAGATATCTCATCTCTACTGTTTCTGATTTGTGTTTGGCTAACATTGTTTAAGATTCCGAACTGTAGGTAAGTGTGCATCCATCTATACACCAATGGTTTTGTATACATATAATTTGGCTTAATTGCTTAGTTCTTTCTTATCTACTAAGGAATTATTTATATGGTTATAAACATAACTTGCTTTTGCTATTCTGTTGCGCATCTCTTGATTCATCTTCACTAATCGTGGTTCCCAGATATTCGTATTTTTCTATTAGCTCTAGTCGTTTTTCATCTTTTTTATATATATGCTTTCTCTTCCCCCTTCCTATGTAATGTGTTACACTTTCCTTTTATTCATGTTTATTATAATTCTCTTGTCTTGTAGGCAGGTTTTCCATATTTGAATGTTTCTTTGGCTAACGTTAGTACAATATCCTTTGACTATACTAGTCTTGCGTGCAGGCCGGAGTTAAATGTGGTTTTGCAATCTCACCGAGCTTAGACTATCGCCTTGTTTAACTCTTTTTTCATTCTAAACTTATCCGATGTCTTTCCATTCAGTCAAACTTTTCCTGTTACCTTTAACGCATTACAAAAACTTTAAATATATGTTTTTAGAGTTGAAATTGAAAAAGGATTCTAGTTGTTGAGGTTTCTCACAAATTTTGTTTTAATTTCTCATTTAGTTTTAATTATTTTGTCATCAGAGACATAATCAGATAAAAATTTTGTGTGAGTACAAAATAATAACAAAAATACAAAAACTTGATAAAACTTATAAATAAGAATTGTGGTTAAACTTTATTAAAAAACAGTCAATAATAGGTACATAATCCGTAATATTATTCGAAACTCGGCAATAAAGAAAACATCACAATCACTTTTTTCAAGGTTCGAACAAAACTATTCATTACATCTACTCGTTTCCTCTCTTTTTTGTATCTTTAATTAAATCTAACCGAGGATTCCAGCAATTTAATTTAATTTTTACGACTTTAAAACTTTTCCCAATTTCTAAATTTAGTTTTATTACATTTATGATGTTTATTGTATCATACATTTATCTTGGATTTAACGAGAGTTTCGCGCTATTATTTTATTTGACTCAAAAAAATCCTTATCACACGCCATATCAAGAAGATTTCCGTTTAAAATTAATGTATCTACGAACTAATCAGACGCACTAAAGTCACGCATGAGATAAATAAACAATTATGAGTAAAGCCATGTGTCTGTTTTTGGGCACGTGATAGTGAATAAACATGACTTGGTCTCTTGTTTAAGATTGTATGAATTACCATTAGAAATATTATTTAATTTCCCACTCCATTTATTAACAGTTGGTCGATATTAATTAATTTTTACTCAAACATTGAATGTTTTATTATTTTCTCTGATGTTCTATTTAGGTTATATTTATCGAAATACTCAAATGTGGAGTGTGTTTTTAATAAGTATCGGAATGTTATTTATGAATAAGTTAAATATGTGCTCGCCTTTTTTCCTGTAAATGTCGAAGGACATTGACGTAAACAAATCGAAAAATCTTTAATGGGTTTCTATTTAATATTAAGTTAAAACTACGACTTTATTATATCATTTATGATTTTTATACAATGTTTTAGTGGACTTAAATATAAAATTAATGCATTTATTCGTAAGTAACGTTCTTATTTATCCTATTAATATTTGCATATAATACGTTATTATCATACTTTTATTTAAGTTTGACAATCTAAATCTATGTCTAAATCGTAAATGTTATAGAAATTGTTATTGTTGTGTTTATGATATAGTGAATATAGGATATGTATTTTCATTTACAGATACTGCATCGTTTAGTGGAATGCATGGTAAGCTATATTTTCCTTCCCATTTACCAAATAAAAAACAACGTTTCAAGATGCTGATTCTTTTTAAACAATCTCAAGAGTTTCATCTAAATGAGTACATGTTTGAAAATTTGTAGAAGCCGTTGATATCCCTGGAATTGGTCAATATGAAGATTTCCACACGATCGATTGGCAAAGAGATATCGCTAGGGATCGAATGCGCCACAGATACATCGTCAAAAAGAAACAAGATTCAATATGGAACTTGATAGAAGGAGCGCACGACGCGTGGTCTGGATGGCTGTGTGTTTTGCTAGTCGGAGTAGCTACCGGTTTTGTTGCCGGAGTTATTGATATTGGCGCCAGTTGGATGACTGATCTCAAATTTGGAATCTGCCCACAAGCCTTTTGGTTAAATGAAGAACAGTGTTGTTGGTCGTCAGAAGAGACATTCGATACAGGAAATTGTACACAGGTAATTTCTTATTCCTTAACATAAAATGTTAGTATTACTTTTTTATTAAATTTAGTGGGTTACATGGGCGGAAATATTAGGACAAACAAGATTGGGCGCTGGGTCCTATATCATTTCATATCTTTTTTATATTGTGTGGGCGTTGTTATTTGCCGCACTATCAGCGTCGTTAGTTCGAATGTTTGCCCCATATGCGTGCGGATCTGGTATACCTGAGGTAAAAACATGTAATAAATGAATAAAATAAATTTATTACAGAAATTTATTTACAGATTAAAACAATATTAAGCGGATTTATAATAAGAGGTTATCTAGGAAAGTGGACGTTAATAATAAAATCGGTCGGTTTAATTTTATCGGTATCGTCTGGGCTCAGCTTAGGTAAAGAAGGTCCAATGGTCCATATAGCATGTTGTATAGGTAAAAAAAATACAAAATAAAATAATAAACAACAACGAACAGATAAATGAATTTAGGTAACATTTTATCGTACCTATTTCCGAAATACGGAAGAAATGAGGCAAAGAAACGTGAGATATTATCAGCAGCAGCAGCCGCGGGGGTATCAGTAGCGTTCGGAGCTCCAATTGGAGGAGTACTCTTCAGTTTGGAAGAAGTTAGCTATTATTTTCCATTGAAAACCTTATGGAGATCATTCTTCTGTGCTTTAATCGCTGCCTTCGTACTGAGGTACATTAACCCGTTCGGAAATGAGCATTCAGTGCTATTCTTTGTCGAATATAATAAGCCTTGGATATTTTTCGAACTAATTCCGTTTATTGGATTAGGAATTATTGGAGTAAGAACTTATTAAAATTAATATTAAAAAAAGTTATTCGTTAATTTTTTAGGGAGTTATTGCAACTGCTTTTATTAAAGGAAATTTATACTGGTGTAGATACAGAAAATATTCTAAACTTGGACAGTATCCAGTCACGGAAGTTTTGGTTGTTACTGCAATCACCGCTATTATTGCTTACCCAAATCCTTACACAAGAATGAATACCAGTGAACTAATTTATTTATTGTTTAGTCAGTGCGGAATTTCAAATGCAGATAATGTATGGTAAGTAATAATTTTAATTATTTTTATTTATAAAAAATCTAAATTATATCAATCTTTTTAGTGATTACAATAGAAATTTCACTGATGTAAATTCCGCTTTAGAATTAGCACCAGCTGGTCCAGGAGTATATAACGCAATTTGGTTACTAATTCTAGCCTTAATTTTGAAATTAGTAATGACCATTTTCACATTTGGTATGAAAGTCCCTTGCGGTCTTTTCATTCCCAGTCTTTGCCTGGGCGCGATAGCGGGGAGAATAGTTGGAATTGGAATGGAACAGCTTGCGTATAATTATCCAAAATTGTGGATATTTAGCGGTGAATGCTCAACGGGTTACGACTGTATAACGCCCGGATTATACGCTATGGTAGGCGCGGCAGCTGTTCTTGGAGGAGTGACACGAATGACGGTGTCGCTTGTGGTTATTATGTTTGAATTAACTGGTGGGGTGCGCTATATCGTTCCTTTAATGGCAGCTGCGATGGCTAGTAAATGGGTTGGAGATGCATTAGGAAGACAGGGTATTTATGATGCTCATATAGCTCTGAACGGGTATCCGTTTTTAGACTCGAAAGATGAATTTGCTCATACAAGTTTAGCTGCAGATGTAATGCAACCTAAGTAAGTGATTTAAAATCTTTGTGAAAAAAAATTGATTATTTTTTTTGTGTTGAAGGAGAAATGAAACATTAGCTGTAATAACTCAAGATTCAATGACTGTCGATGATATAGACGGTCTATTAAAAGAAACAGAGCACAATGGATATCCAGTTGTAGTATCTCGAGAGTCGCAGTATTTGGTGGGATTTGTCTTGAGAAGGGATCTTAATCTTGCTATTGGTATGTATAAACATTTTATTTTATAATCATATAATCGTTTTATAATTGTTTATGTTTATGGCATAATTCATTTAATGATTAATGTCGGTTGTAAAAAGAATTTGGTCCTAAACTTAGCAAAATAAAAAACATTAGGCGGTTTCAATGGAGGACCAAAATTATATAGCAGTGATGTGTATTTTTATGTTCTACATGTCTTTAAAATTTCATAAATTCATTGTTGTTCTTTTATCCTTACATTGTGTGTCAGCAAACATTAACAAAGTTCAGGAAGTGTTTCTTCCAAATAATTATAGTACCATAGACATTAGAGAAATGATTCTTTACGAACAAAGCTTAGCTGTTGTAATTTAACTCAACATTGTTCCTAGCATCCTTTCACACCTCATCCCCTCATCATGTTCTGGGTTTCCCAACTAGTCTCCTATCTTTAGGCTGTCCATGTATGTGTCTTCTTTGGTATTCTTTCATCCAGTATCCTTTGAACATGCTCATCTTGACCAATATGTGTCTTATATGTGCTTTATATGTATATTTTGAGACTCGTGCTTCCTCATATAGTTGGTACAATTCGTGGTTCAGGCACATTCTCCACGTGTTCCCATCTCTGACTACTTCCATAATTATTTTTAAGACTTTTCTCTATATTGCATCCAGCCTTTCTGTGTTTGTTTGTGTAAGTGTCGGCGTTTCTTCTTCATAGGTTAGACCTGAACTAAACATGGTTTTGTACACTCTAATTTTGGTTTTTTGTGAATGTTTTATTCTCTTAAGTACCTCCTTTGCTTCGTCGTTGAATGTGACATGTTAAATCCTAAATATGTGAACTCTTGTACCACTTCAAAGTTGTCCGATTTCGTAGTTGCCCGTTCTGCACTAGAAGTTTGATTTTTTCTCATTGACTTCCAGGTTTATTTCCTTAGCTGCACTTTCAAGCTCCCTGAAAGACTCATCTATATCTGCTACCTATTACCTACTATGTTGGCGTCATCTGCATACTCTATGATTTGTTTTGAAGGGCTTCATAAACTTGATCCTTTGTCTAGGTTAAAGAGCATACATGCCAGCCCATCTCCTTGTTTCGGGCTTTCTCCAATCTTTCCATCAATCTTCATTCTACTTGTGGTATTACTCATTGTTATGCTTATCATCAATCTGTCCAACTTTGGAGGAATGTCAAAGTCTAACAGTCTTGATAGGAGTTTACTCTAACTATATTATCGTAGGCTTTTTTGAAATCGATGTATATAATTGGAATGTCGTATTGGCAGAGTTATTAATTTATTTGTCGGACGCCGAAAATGTCTTGCCAGTTGTTGATCGTCCAGCACAGAACTCGGTCTGGTACTCTCCCAATATCCTTTCTGCCAAAGATTCCAATTTGTCTTTAATGATGTTTGTGAATGCTTTGTAGGCTGTGCTAAGTAGTGATATGCCTCTGTAATTATAACGTAGTAATTTGACCTTTTGTGTATTGGCCATGTTGCACTTGCTTTTCATTCTTCTCTATATGCTTGCTAATCCATATCATATTATGTCTTATTATTAGACTGTGTATAGCCTTTGCAACTGCGTCTCCTCCATACTTGAAGAGTTCTCCTGGGTAGTTCTGGCTACTTCTGAATGACTTCAAAAGATTGTGGTTGTATAGCCGGTCTGGTCTCTGTTTTATGCTGTGGACGATAGTCTTTCCGACTTCCGTAGGGTTTAAGAGTCATTGGAAGTAGTTTTTCTACTTTTCTCGAATACTCTCGTCATTCGCTAATACTTCTCCGTTTTTTTTGTGTGTGGAGTGAATTTCCTGCACCCTTACTGCTGGAAGTAATTGATCCTTGGAAATTAGCTGTTTCTTCTGCCTCTCGGTTTCTGTTCTAATGTAGCTTACGTCACTCCTTTTACTTGCTCCTTCACTCGCTTCCATCCATTCTCTATATTCCCCATTTTGGTTTCCTCCTCCATTTGTGCGTACAATTTCTCCACCAGCGTCTGTCCACATTAATTTTCGTTTCTCCTGCTACTTTTTCGTTGATGCCCCAGACTGTCGCAATCATTTTAATGTCGTTTGAGAGCAGTGTCAATGCCACAATATTCACCAAAACTAACTTGTATTGGTAATAACAAGATTTGTTGATAAGTGTCCCATTCTACTTAAGTAAATTTAGCCTATCTCAATGAATGCCTTTTGTCATGAGCATTAAGAATCTGCAGCTTGAGGACATTTTTCGTGGTGTAGTTGTTGGTCTGTAGAGTTTGATCTCTTTCTGATATCTGCGTTATCAGTTCCTCAGACTGATGTTTTACTGTCAAACTCTTGAAATGTTGCCCATTATTAACACTACATTCTTGGAGTTGCCTTTCCAAGGAATTTAATATGTCATCTTTAATTGGTTTCTTCTCGCTTCTCCAGTAACTTTTGTTTTTAGGATTTTTAACTTTCATAACTTGTCTTTGTAAACGACATTTTTCAAGTAATCACATAGCAAATAATTGTATGGAATGAAATCAGGAAAGTGGGTAGCCCATTCAATAGCACCTCTATGACCAATTCACTTTTCTGGACAAAATTAAAGCCAAATTTTATTAATACGCGCATGGCCATCATCTCTTAACAAATTTTGGTTCAATTACTTAAGTATGTAAATGCGACACAAAAGTTTATTTACATTACTTTATTTCTTTATAATTCATCTAGTATTGACATATGTCGCTGAGGTTGCTGCTGATGATTAAAAACATTTTTATTTTTTTAAGTTTGTTATTGAACATGTTGATGATGGCTTTGATAAATCAGAAACCGGTTCTGAATTTATGATTAATTCATATACTTATCAAGTATCTCAAAAGCAAATACAGTGCTCTTATATTTATAAAATTGTTGCTGCTGTTTTTGTAATAACTTGAATACAATAATTTTAATTAATTAATAATTATTTCAGCAAATTCTAAAAGAATGGTGGATGGTATATGTGGGCAATCATTAGTGCTCTTTACAAGCGGCAACCCACCCCAGACTTTGGGACCACCCCATTTAAAATTAAAGAAAATATTGGATATGGCTCCCATAACAATAACAGATCAAACCCCAATGGAGACTGTTGTAGACATGTTTAGGAAATTAGGTTTAAGACAAACGCTGGTCACTCACAACGGGTAAGTGATCTAAATATTTTTAAATAAATTACTTAAAATGATTAATTTTTTAAACAAAATTTTTATTTTTCAGTCGTTTGCTTGGAGTTATAACGAAGAAAGACGTATTACGACATGTCAAACAATTAGATAATGAAGATCCCAACTCGGTTTTATTCAACTAGATCATTAGTATTGTGTACACATATTATTGTATATTAATTGTTAATCGATATAACATTTTATGTATCTATCATTATCGTGTATCCTATTGAATTGATAATATGTATTTATTTTAGTATTTCCATCTGTTTTTATTTAAAATATCCGTTAAATATTCAATAATACTTACCTTTATTAACAAATTCCACATCTAACATCGAATTTTAAAACGTCGATTAAATGATAATTTTCGAAATTTTATTTAAATAATATCAATTAGACTGTACAAAATAATACTTATGAAATACTCATGCCGTTTACAGTAATACATATAAAACTGATTATTTGTCGCAAAGGTTACTCAATCAGAAGGCCATAAGGCATGGAGCCTAAAATAAATCAAGTTACACTTTTTTATTGATTTTTTTTTTATTCTTGCGTGGCTATAACAGGTGTATGTTTCGTTTTTTTTCTAATAGAGTAACCTTTAGTAGCGTCTTTGATTGTCTTTTGTCTATTTTAAACGCTAAAATTAAAACCACCTTCACGACTGAGAGCCATGAAACTGCTTTCAAAGGTTACCCAACAAGATTGAAGAAATGAAAACGAGTGCACGTACATCAAAGAGAAACTGCATTAAATTTATTATTCATATCAATTTTTTTATAAAACACGTAACAATTATATCGACATACATTGAGATGTGTGTAAGTTTATTCATGGATGCGTGTGATTTTGTGTGAGTTGTTGGTGGGGAAATCAGTTCTTTGTCTAGTAACCTTTTCTCTTTGGGTAAAATATTGACTAGAAAATTATATATACAATGTAGCCGTAATCGCTATTTCTTTTACCAGTTCGTAACCAGTTTCGACAGGTTGACGCGTTCTCAACAACTTTCTCTCTATCACATCCATCAATCTTTACATCTTTACGTGTTTCTATATCAGACATTTAGAATTTTCGGCGATATCCTGAACGCAACCACGAAATCGCGTCAACCTGCGTCACATAATAGAACGCCTAAAAAGTAGAAAGTCTTAAAATTACTTATTTAGATAATAATACTTCATTTACGTTATGCTGTAGGTAGACTGAATATCTACAAAGAGGTGAGCTTCACTTATACAATATATTCGTTTTTGGAATGTAACCAACGTTAATCTTGAAAAAAGAACATGCTCTCTATATCGTACAAAAACTATATTATAAGTACTGTCCGATTACAGTAGTAGGGGAAGCACAAATAGAAATAGAACGACTCTTTTTTTTTTTTTTGGATTTCGTTTACACGGCTTTCTTCTCGGGGTGAAGAACTGCGCGAAAAACAATGATATAAGGAAGATATGGTGACGTTTTCATACTTTTTTCTTTGTTGACGTGCAACTTTTATATCACAATGGGCTTATATTGCACAGACTGCTCGTCTAGCCAGATATCGTATTATTTCGTCTTTAGAATATTTGCATTGCACAAATGTAAGAACTTGCAAGATTTGTGTTGATCATATTATTTTTTTTTAATTTATCTAAGTTTTAATTAAATAAACGTTTATACAATCAAAATTGGGCGTGCAAATGAATTTATAATTAAAAATTGAAATATTTACGAAATCATATCGCATTGGTCCCGTTTAGAATATTTCAATTATGCAATCAGATATGAAATTTTTGAAGGTTTTTAACATATTGTAATATAAATTACTAAATTGAGCTATAATATTGCTTTTAATGTGAAAATTCCCTGATAAATTAAATATTTCTAATCTAATAATGACTAGACGTGACTAGAAAATTTATTCTGAAATAATTTATGAAAATAGAGAGGGGTATAAATATTTCACATTTTTAATTAAGTGTATTTCGAAGTGTTTATTTAAAGAAAAATAATTTCTTGTGAGATTAGGTTGAGTTTAGTTGTTTACAATTTAATCAATGATATTTATCTGAGTATCTGTAATGATACAGGATTCTTCAAAAAGCGCCCACAACCAAGCTACTTTTGTTGAAATTGAAGCAGTATCTAATTGCAGTTCGGTCTTTTAATAATTTATAAATATTAAATAAATATTAATCGAGATTTGGTAATATCCTACCTTCTGGTTGTTTCATTTATATTTAATAATTTGGTTGAAGACTTATTTAACCTTAGGATGGTGACAGCGTAATACTAAGAACGTTTTACAATATTGTCGCTTGAAATGAAGAGCTTAAAAAATATGCTCATAATAATCAAGATCTATGGTATACGAAAAAATTACATGCTATAAAATTGGAAACATCTTTAGGGTTGCTCTTCTTTTTGCTTTAAAGGGAGACATTCAAAAAATTGTTATTCTTGTACGGTGGCTACTGAATGCTTTTATTTATAACCCCTGTAATTGAGAAGATGGAGACTGAGAAGATGTTTATAGATTGGAAGACTGCTCTTATATGTCCAATACATAACAAAGAGGATAAGCTTAACAGTCGAAATTATAGGGAGATATCGCTTCTTTGTACCACACATAAAGTTCTTGCAGGTATGATACAGCACAGAATCACCTCGTACGGCGAATTTAGGTGGTAAGGGTTTAGAAGTGGCAGATCCACCACACATGAGAATTTTACAGTCTGACAAGTAATTGAAAAACGGTAGGAATTCGATACAAGTCTATAATACTATAGATCGAGAAGTACTATATAGCCATGCAGGAAATGGGAATTCCATTGAAGTTAGTAAATCTGACACGGATGGTGATGAGCTTCTGGGTATGCTTATCGTCATACCGAGAAGACTAAAACGAAAGGTGTATGATAGCTGCATATTGTCATCGACGACATACGAACTTAAAACGATGGCCTTGACAAAAACTGCAGAACAACTTAATGTAACATGAAAAGCGATGGAACAAGCAATGCTAGGAGTCACTCTGAGAGGGAAGATTCGAAATAGTGACATTGGCAGAAGAATACAAGTCACAGATGGGCTAAGTTGAGTAGCAAGGTATAAGTGGCAATGAGTTGGGCGTGTGGAAATAGCAAATACAGAAAGATGGACACAAAGAACAACCTTTCGGAGACAACACGAGAAGCTAGAAGAGGTGCAGGAAGACCGCAAAAGAGGTGGATCGATGATGTGAAGAAAGTGGCGAGGAAAGAATGGATAAGAATAGTTAAATACAGAAATGAATTTTGATGAATTTAGAAGAGGCCTATGTCCAGCAGTAGATGAAGACGGGCTGATGAAGATGAAGAAGAAGATGGTGATGAGCGAACGTTATGAAATCAGGGGAGGGCCTACGACAAGACGATGGACTCACTCCCATATTGTTTAATATACAATAGTAGGTCATTAATGAGTTGCAAATGCATAGACCAGAATAACACCATAATGTCCAAAGAGACGTTTGGAGTTGATGACATTGAAGTTTTACTTATCTAATAAGCAAAGTACAACGATAATAAATTCAACCATTTCTTTTGAAATAACTTGTGGAACTTTATTTGTCTATCAAAAGACAACAAAGAAATGACAAAAAGAATCGAAAGTTAATAGGCCGACAATTGTGTATTATAGCTTAGGTTTTCTGTTGAATAGCAAGTTAAAGTTGCTATAATGAGTAGAACGTAATCAGGTCGTCATGCCATATCGAATTTTTTTGCTCCCCAGACTATTTCTTGTGCAAGTCCTAACAGATCCAAGCTCCTACGAATCTACTTTGTCAATGGGCCAGTACGAAATATTGGATGACTCCATGTTTAGTTTTTTATCACAGTTATTTGCAAAACTTTTCATTAAATAGAAAAGATAATACTGAATATTTTCTGTTACTTTTTATTATACAACCCAATGAACTAACTCAATGTCGCTCACTTCCTTTTTCATTGGAAAATCACTTAGTTTTTATACACAAACCTTTGTTCCTGATATATACAGTACTTCCGGATCCCTTCTGTTCTCGTAGTCCAATGTTTGTGAACACCAGCGTGTTTATGTTTATGTTCACGAAGTAATTACAATTCAAAATGATTACTTTCAGTGAGTCTATTTAGCAATTAGTTTTAGTTCAATTTAGCCCTCTACGGTCAGCTTTTAATTAAATATGTTATAAACAGAAACAAATCAAAATGTTGAAACTATTTACAAACATTCACTTGTTTATTCACATTCGTCGTTTATCAATGAGCCAGATTAAAACGCGTTATTGCCCATTCAGAGAGATTCAGAGAATTTTATGAAAAGCTGAAAATGTATTCTGCATATGTATATAAAGAAGAACTATTATTATTGGAATGGATGTGTGTGTTTGCCAATTTCAGAGTTTTAAAAAATATATATTTTCAAGACTATCATGATAAACTCTGCATCCTAGAATTCACAGGATCTTCAGGAGTTGGTCCAAAATTTGCTTTCGAGACTGTAGCCACAAATTTTTGACTCCAGGTGGCTGGAAAAATTTACTCAGTGAGACAAAAATTATAGCGATGGCTAAAGTGAACATGGTTAGTAAATTTTAAAATAAATTTTAGATTGTTTAAATACATCTATTAATTTTTCCATACCTAATTCCAAATGTAACTGATATTTATACCACCTCTTTATGTTTCATTAATTTAAAGATTTAACTAAATCTTATCTAAGTGATTGAAGATATGTTCGTTGTTTAAAATTAAAACATTTTCATTTTCAAAGAACTAACCACAATGACGTCATAAATTTAAAAATATCAACTCGACACTACTTATTGTCGTGTTAAATAAACTAAACGCCAAATGTTATTAAATCGACTTGATCGAATAAATTTTAAAACACATTTTCGTAATCTTACATTTATGCAAACGTTTAATTTGTTTTTTTTTTCGAAGGTACTTACAACTAATTAAGAGTTCACTCGTTCCAAGTTGGTATGTCAAATTTTTTTTTCTTTCAAACTCTTCGTTTTCTTTTATTACTTTTTTTTTGCTTTGTTAAAAGTCCTTCGCGTTAACAAATCGACGCAGGTAGATAACCTAAGTTTTTTCTTTGTAGAAATAGATGGATTTCGGCAAATCTCGGCCTATCTGTGGCGTTTCTCTTCCAGCATTCTCCCATGAGATCGTAGATTTCTCTCGGGCAAATAGTGGGTCGTGAAAGGTACCTTTGGCAGCCGTCGTTTTGGTACCAATGGCTGCTGTTCTCTATTACTTGTTCGTTGGTCAACTCGGCGTAAGGCTGCTGAAGACAGAACATCAGGATTTCCCATAGGGTCACCGCGAAGGACCACACGTCGCTCTTTGTAGTCTGTTTACCCTAGGGGTATTAAAGGGAAACGAATATTTAGATTTATTGCGAGATCTAATGTTCGTTTGTAAAACCATCGGGAATATTATATAAAACACTCACCAATAACAGACTTTCCCATGACATCCATCTAATTGGAAGTTTCGATTTGGTATCACTAATATAGTAGTCGCCATGATACCTGTCGCAGTACATGGCGTGATCTGACACCTTGACGTTGAAATGCTTATCGATCACGCAATTTCTAGAAATACAAAACCATCGTATATTATAATGTCATTTGGAAATTCCAGCGTTGGACGGTTCCGCCGCTAACCTACATTCCCAATTTAATCGTAAATTCGAAATGGGCTTAAATTACGTAATGGTATTCGGCAGAAATGTGCATTAACGTAGCTGTACACATTTTCATGCATAAAGATTAATGGTTTTTTAACGAAAAATTTTAAAGGATTACCTTGCTGATAAATCCCTATGCACCAAATCTAACGATTCCAAGTATTTCATACCAGAGGCTATTTGCGTTGCAATGAAAATGAGGCATCCATAGCTGAAAATCAAATGAAATAAGTTAGATAAATTGAATGCCAAACTCAAATGAAAGCATACCTAATTGATTGATTATGTGATTCGTCGTTGCTGGAATTTTGAACTAAAAATCTCGCCAGTTCCCCAAACTCTGAGTATTCGAGTAACGCGCACATCGGTTCATCCTGACTACAAAAACCCAACACTCGCGCAATGTTTGGATCTCTGACACCGGCCAACCAACTAATTTCTTTTAAAAATTCATTTCTCTTTTTATCATCGGTATTTTTCCATAAGCTTTTCATAATGACGTGCTTCTTATGAAAAATCGTACTACCGTTGTAATCAGGAAGACCCTCGGCTTCGCAAAAATGAATCTTAAAAAATTTTAAATAAATTATGTTGTAAAGAAACTCGGTATACACGAGGAAATGAAAATATTACCGTTCCGTAGTCTCCTTCCCCCATTTTTTCTAGTAGACGTAGTTTGTGCCTCGGAAATTCCAGTAGCTGAGTCACTCCTTCGACTGGAGGGCTCTCGGGTAACTTTATTGAGGTGAACCTACCAGGAGTGAAGTGTTGCTCCTTTCGTTCAGTCTTAATTATGTCTGTAGCGGCGTAGTACTGGTCTGGAACTACGTTCGGAGTTTGGTACGCTGGAGACTCATGTTTTGATGGTAAAGTAGACATTAAGGCAGACGGGGGATTTAGATTATAAAAAGAAGAGGGTGAACTAAATTTGAGGTCATCTGGGAAACCATTCACCCCTTTCATTTCTGAAATATAAAAGGACCTTATTTAGTAATAAGAGAATTTAAATTATAAATTAGTTTTACCGGGATTGCATCCAAATTTTGTAATTGGTGCAGGGAGTAGTTTATAAGGTTCATGATAAACGGAATTTTCGCTATCAGATTCTTCACCATTAACGTGACCATATAAATTGCAAATTTTCGATTTTTTGGAATTTATTGTATCGGAAGCCGATTTGTTATTAAACGACAATCTTGATAGTCCATTATTGATGATAGGAGTTGACATATTCATTTTTAAATCTTTCATATTCATAGTAATCCCTGGCTTTGTGCTGCTAGATACCAAAGCTGTGTGTTTGTGAAGTAAAGCGACCTTTTTTCTACCTCGCTTTATCATTAAAAGCACTGTACACGCTAACAGTAAAACTACCATGGCTAATGAACCCGTTATTAAGCCGATATACGTTTGAGTTGTATGAGTTGGACTTGTTTCTGGGGCAATTTCTTTTCTTGCGTGTATAATTTCTCCTCCAGTTCGTGGTGGCGCCGATGTCGATTGTACGATATCAAAAAGTGAGTAATATTTTTCAAGCATTTCATCGGTTAAATTATGTTGTAGTTGAGCTTTAAAAAGTACAATATTAAGAAACATAAAAACTAAATAATTGTTTTAATAACTTACTTGATTCAAAAGTTATTTCACTTAACAATATCCACTTATCCGCGAATCGCAATCTCAATCTAATAAATTTTGATAATTTTGGTTTAAAACGAATTGTAATATTTCGTGCCGATTCATTTATTTGATCTGGTGCGATAACTTTGGTGATGGGAAACTCTTGAAACCTTCCAGGATGGAGGCCAAAATATAATTCAACACTTGAAAATATCTATGAAATAAATAGCAATTAATTTATTGTGATTAGAATTTATTTATAATAATTACTTGTACTCCTCTCATGAACATGTTATTCGTGTGAATATGAACAGCTGTAAAATCTCTGATAGAATCGAATTGAAAAGTTATTTCCAACGGTGATCCTTCTAAAGTGTTATTGTGCCATCCAATCCATCTGCTACCTAATAAAAGAAATCAACGCGTTATTTAAAAATGATTATTAGAGTTTATTAAGATAATTGATTAAAAAATTCAATTAATCATCCTCAAGATGCAAAAAATGAACGATTACAAGGAAGAAAGGCACGCCTTTCCGGAATGAATCCCTTAGCTTTGAGAAAGGAGTGGTTCGGCGACTTTTTGAAGGGTCAAGATAGCAGGTGAATAATAATGTAAATTAATAGATCTCAACCATTCTGTTATCGATCGAAGGATTACAACGTTCAAACACAAATTCTCGGAGAAAACGAAACATATTTCTTTCTAAATAAAACTAACTTTTAACTAGTTAACTTTTTACTAAAAGATTAATAAGTTTGTTTTCGACATTAATGATGTAGTTAAACGAGCTAAACACGTTAAGTCTTGTGAGGAGACGTCGAGCTGGTTTTCTTTTTCAAGTTATATCCAATCATAAAACCACATTATTGTGTTAGTGTTGCCGAAAAATACAGCAATCGCTAAACTTCGCGGAATTCAAATGGAGTAGTGACATGAATATAAAGTGCCGTATGACAGCTCCTTCTAGCCTCTCTTACTCAATTCCGACTCTAAACTCTAAGCTGGGAAAACCCGGAACTCAGAGCAACCCTGTGTAAGACTCCGGTAAGCAATTCCACTGGCAGAAATGGCAAGATTAACAAGAGCGTCAAAAATGGTCTTCTGAAAAGGAAGCCAACAACTTATCCTTGTAAAAAAAGTATGGCTACGAAACCTAAATGAAGCCTCGGAGTGTATGGGACCATTAGTGACTGAAAAAGCAAACGAAAAAGTATTATGATAGGTGAACGGTGTAATGCCGTTATTGTCAATTTTTGAACCCAATGTCTAGGTGATGGAATCAGAGATACTAACACTTACGCTGTGCTGTACAGTAGCAAACACGCAGGTCCGAAAGAATTGGGGTGACTGACAACCTATAAGTGGAAGAATGTACACTGCCTGAAAAGAACAGGAACCTGAAAAAAAGGGACTTGTCAACAAGTAGAAAACGTATGCGACTCATCCCCAAAAAAATGACATCAAGATAATAATCACGGATATGAACATGAAAAGGATCGGAAAGGTGCAGGGATGTTCAGAGTCGTGGGATGAATTTTTAATTTACGACCAGAAAACCTGTTTGATTAAAGCCACCAACATACTTTTGTTACTAACATACAATAAACGAAAATGAGAAATAGTTGATTTGATTATTGTAAATCATAGAAAGATTAAGTCAATTATTTAATTTTGTATTCAATTCCTAGTGTGAGGGCTGGAGAAATTGGCTCTTCTAAAATTAAAGCAGTTATACACGTCAATAGGATGGCGACGAAGCATTATAGACGATCAGATAAATTCCATGGTATGAACGCATTCCTCAGGTAGTGAAATAGGCGATGTTAATAAGATAGAACCATGAAAGTTATTTCTCGAGACATTCGGGCCATTGCATCTGAATGTATTATATAAACTACGAAAACTTTCGGTATAGTACCAATATGTTCGTTAATTAACAAAGAGTAGCCATTCTAACTATAACAATTTCAAGACTACAAAATCAATACTTATCTATAGCATTAAAGTTTATGCTTAAAGTGGGAATCATCTAGTTTACGAGTCAATCATATAAGTGAAATTGAAAGTCGTGAAAAATCTGCATTTGATTAGATAAAATCGGTTCTGTCCATTTTGGTCTTTCTGACCGTTTTTTTCCAGAAGTGTACTTTCACTGTAACTGCTCCCCTAATTGTTTGGTTAGTTGCAATTTTGTAGTTTTTAGTGCACCTCACATATCTCAATATCATGTAGTTTTGTTCCGAGGTATGTATTCTTCGCACGATTTGATTATTAGCACGATTTTGACTATACGTTGAGACCAGATCTTTTCTCCTCCGCCTAGGCAAAGATACTATGATTTTGCTCTGTTCGTGACCAAGCCTGTTTAGCGTTGTCTGTCCAGTTTTCTGATATTTGCATGGATGAGTTTACAGCCTTAATTAATGTATCATATTGATGTTTGAGATAGAATTTGCTACAATTTTTTTTGAGGGATGGTGTCATACGCCTTGGTTAGGTCAACAAATAGGAGATGTGTTCTTTTCGTAGCTATATCTATGCATGTTTTTCTCTGAACCTCGTTATTTCTTCATTTCAAACGGCGCGTTCATTCTTCGTCAATATTCGACCATATAGGTACTCTGCTTAGTGAATTTGTGACTTTTAGATATCGGTAGTTGTGACAGTTTTACCTAGGTTTTATGGATCGATGTTGTATATCCTTTCTTCCAAGTCTCCGGAATTTCTTCACCATTCACAAAGTCTTAAAAGACGGCCAGCTGTTCCACCATTGAGCTAGGTGCGTTCTTTATTAACTCAATTTGGATCTCTTCCGGATCGTTTGATATGTTGTTTTACATTGCTTTCAATTTTTTGTTTACTTTTCAGTGTTGTTAGTGATAGTGTTAGGAACTGTGGTCTCTTTTCTGTCAATTCCCTTTCATAATATTCTTTCCATAACGATACAGGTATAAGTTGTATGTTTAATTTTTCATTGTTATGGTTTTTTAATAGTCGCGCCGCCGGTTACTACAAGAGTGGGCGCATGTCATTTCTTAGATGACTTTTCAATGCATGCAAAATAGATATATATTTATTCCTATGATGCAAAAGTATTAACAGGTTAGTTAGTCAGTCCAGGCAGACTGTCTACGTCAACTCTTAGATGACATGCGACTATTGGAGTGTTAAGGATCGCACTAGGCTCCATGCCATTGACACTCGCGATCCTGCTAAATAAGTAACTGTATTGTCTTTATCATTCTTTTATATTTTGACAGTTCCATTTCATATTTGATATTGTTCCTTGGTGTATCTTGATTTAGCCATTTCTGATATGCCTTATTTATAGCCTTTTTTTTTGTAGGTTCTCATTGCACATAATTTTGTAGTTTCTTTGTGCTCTTGTATTGTATAGATTTGTTTGTATCTTTCTCGCGTTATTTTGGTTACGGATTATTGTTATGTTAGTGCTTAGTACTGGTCTGACCTGTATATTAAGCTCCCTTCTATCTTGTATTTTTAGTTTAGTGTTTAATTTAATAATAGCATAATCAATTATTGATAAATAAAAGCTCCTTGGGAACGATGAAAAAATATTTATTCTTAACATAAGATCAGTGCAACATGTTTCGAGATTCAAGATCTCTTCATCAGGCACGACGTCAATTACTTATGGAGCACAAAATTGAACATCTGACAAACGTGGTGAAATTTTGAAGGTGATTGGACGAGACAAAAGGCGTTAACAAATTTTTTAAAGGCCTTATGGGCAAGTTAGTTGGTTACAAATATTTCTTCATCGTTAAAAAAACTGGTTTTTAAGAAATTGAAATTAATTGAATTGTTTAAAATAAAAAATTTATAAAAATTATCGTAAAAATTAAAGTTTTATTCTTAGGAGTCCATCCGCGACGTGAAGAAACTTGTTTCCAAGTTTCTTCGTTCCCAAGGAGCTTTTATTTATCACTTACAACCCACGATGAACATTGAGTCAACTATCACCATAATCAATTATTGACTTGAGTTGTGTTGTATCTGTATGCTATATGTATTAGAAATACATATTTCTTTATATTTAAAGAAGCCATTTTGCATACTCAGTTTTTTAAATTGTACACAAGTCTATTAATCGGTTTCCGCTATCATTTGCTGTTTTTTCTCCAGACCTGCGTACAGTTTAGCTATTTGTTCTTCTGCCTGTTTTTGCATTTAAATCTCCTAAGACTATTAATTCTCTACCTCGCCTAATGTGCTTATGTTAGTATGCAGTGTGTTATAAAAGATTTCCTTTTCTGCGGCTTTGGCATCTTCATTTGTTATTAACTCACACTTTTGACCTCACTACAGCAAGAGCGTTGTGACAAAGTTAGGATAAAGCATAACTTTTCTGTTATGTGTTAAAATGTTTTGCATTAAATTGCAGTAAATTCAGTAACTTTAACTAACAATTGTTGCGAATATTTCGCCTACGAAACACTTTACGAAGTATCTACCAGCCTCTAAACATTCTCAAACAATTTTAGCCATGGAAACATCATCACAGAATTTCTATCATCAGAATGAAAATGTGACTACTCATGCAATAGTGATTCTGAATAATTAAGAACATTTATGATATTCACGTTCAATGGATACTACTTGTATCTATAAATTGTCTTTAGTAATTATTCGAGTTATAGTAGCAATATATGCAGTACATGATTGTGGCGAAAAGATTTATTATTCTGTATCTACCATATTCACAATCGAAATTGAAGTCACTTTGATTGCACATTCTCTAAGTTCATTGCAGCATACAAACGGATTGTTTGAAGAAGAGGTAATATCTGCTGCGATTACTACTGATTGTTATTACTAATCTTGCTGAACCATGAGAATTCCGAAATGAATTCCACATCCCCGCATTGACAAGCTATTTCCAATTTAATTAATGATGGAACCTAATTCATGTTGCTCACTCAGAATAACTAATTAGTTTTGTAATGATTGTATTCGATATTATTTATAATACTCTTGATATATATTTGATAATCTATTATAAAAACAGCGATTAACACAAAAACATATATAGCTATTTAAATGAAGTTAATTTGGAAGCGCTTTTTAAATACGGATCGAATTGAATGGAAACCATATTTAAAATAATCTACTAATATTTTCATAAAACGTAATTCGGTTCATTTACGTTGCCGCCCACTTTAACTACATGCAACATCGAAACGGCGACTGTTTTCCGAAGCAAATAGCGAGTGTTTGACGAACCACCCGAATTACTGAAATTGTTGATTGATTAATGCTTTTACGCTGTACCCACAATTCGAAATTGGTTTCGATAATATATGACAGCACCTACGTTTCGAAACGGTCAAAAGCAATTTTGCACTATTTGACAACCTCCTCTTTATCGTTGAATTGGTTACGTGTTAAAAGTGTTCTCCGTTTGATCCAATATTAACTGGATGTTATTAAATTCTGTTCTCTAGTTAACCCAATATATTTCTATATAATCCTATATATTCCATAAAACATATTTCGTAATAATTGAATAATTGAAAATACAAAATTGTATGGTTGAAGTTGTAAAATTTATTTTATGGCCTCTTTAGTAACTGATAGACGAGGTTGTAACAAACAAATTTGGAGTTTTAGGGATTGACATTCAGAAAATTGGTCCGGTAATATTGGAAATGAAATTCCACTTTGAATGATGAGGGTGAAATCGATGATGTGTGAAACGAAATTACTGTCCTACGACACGAAGGGGGTTCGAACTCGGAGGATGCGACCATAAATAAGGGTTGAACACCTTCCCCGTTGTGACTTGTGACCGATTTCCGGCGGTCTCTGGACCTGGAAATGACTTCTAATGTAGAAAAGTCACTTTACTCACCGGAACTTTCGCCTTGTAACTGTTTTTGGTAGTCATCTCCACCATAAAGACCGTCCACTAATTGACCAAGACCACCTCTCATGTAATTTCCATCTAAAATTCCGTCGTAACTGATATCGTCTAAGTCAACTTTTGCATTTTGTTCGTTTCCACGAGGTGCATCATATTGAACGATATGTTCTGAAACATGAAAAATAAAAAAAAAGTAGAGCTTGCGGGAAATGAATACATTAATTACTTTTTTAATCATGGAATTATAATATTTAAACCATAACAACGGAAATTATTTTCCAAAGTATCTGCTTATGTATTCATTTCGCAACTGCAATATCAATTTTACGCTCGTTTATTATTTATTTACCGTCATATTTTAGTCCATTAGCATAATATTATTGATGTACTAATTGAAGCGGACGTGAACAGTATTGATGTAATTGTTTTTACGTATATCCGCTTGAATAATTAAACCGCTTATGAACGGTGGATTTCGATTTTGTGTTGTACGTTTTAAATTATGCAGGTATGTATTAGTCGCGCTCAGGGTGTTGTAAAATAGATGTTCATTTTGTGTTTGAAACGAAATACAATATTTATACAAAAAAGCCCCCAATATTTTTTGCTTGTTTATTTTTTCTGTTCGTTGCAATTTATTAACGACTAATGGTTCACAAATTTTATACGTTTTACGTTTCAATTTAACTATCAAAAATTCGATGTATACAATTTTTTCGTTATTTTTTCAGTTATATTTATACATATAGTAATTAATTGTGTTATTGTAGGATAAGTAAAATCACTTTACCATTTCGTTTTCTATCTGAACTACAGCTGTGGCAACAACTTCGGCGACGCAGAAGTAACTTCAACAAGTGATTACTTGGTAAACAAGGCCGGAAGGGCGTAAGTTGAGGCCGGTATATCGTGAAATATCAAGCCGGCCTCAAGTTTTCGACGTCGGCGTGGCTATCGGGCTCATTATTCATCGTTGGAACGCGTGCTCTGGGGAAAATATAACGGTTTTGTATGCTAATTTCCGAAAAGTCCGCGTCCCACGAGACACACCCCTAACCGAGGAGCGCGTGATTCAAGTTTATTTCGCCCTAGACGCCTTCTCTTAATGAGAATATACCGCAGCGTAAGCTCAGACGTTGGATATGGAGGCACGCGGTCGCCCCAAACACGAAATTTCGCCTTGAAACTTAAACGTCCGTAAAGTTTTGGACATGTCTATGGTCTGCATTCTACGATGGGATATAAAACTATATTTTGCATCCTACAGCTTCATATTTGGGGTTTAAACGGGTTCACATTACAAATTCTTTTAAGGGAAGATATTTTGTATTGCATGGAAAAGTTATTTTACATTTTCGAGGATCACCTTTGTGTAGCCCGAACATGCTTTGTCAGTTTAATACTTTGATACGTAACAAAGTATTAAACCAGCAAAGGGCAAAGAACAAACTCTAAAAGCTCCCGGTGCACTTCTTCTTCTTCTCTTCACTTCTCTTCTCCATACACTTACAACCGACGGAGGAGTTAAGTTAAAATATAAGTTCTCGCACGAGTTGGTTGGCTTGGCTGTAACGCGGGGGGCTTCGCTTTTATCAAAGTAAACGTCGACCCGTCGTTCGCACGCTTGGAAAAGAGTGGGATCCTGCAGTGAAGTTACATGTAAAAGGGCCGCATCGCCGCACCGAAGGGGGCCAGATAATTGAGGGGTACCGGGAAATCTAAGAGTTCCTGTTCAAGGGGAGACCCTCAAAATTATAAAACGTTACAACGAAAACTACTTATACACTAAGGACGTGATCTGTTTGTAAGAGGTTTACTGCGATAAGTGAATAACAAAGGATTCGAATTTCTAATGCATTTATCTTCTTAAAATGAACCCTTTCCGGGTTAAACGCATCCTAAGGCATACACTTAATAACATACGAAACCAAACTAAAAATATAAGTTTATCTGTATTTTAATAAAACAGCTGAGGTAACCATGGTAATAACTTTGCTGTTATCTTAACATTAAGATGGTAAAAGTGGAGCTAAAAGTTTTTAGATTTTCAAGTTTCTAACTGAACGCGGCGCCTCCACCAGTTTTAAAAAGTTAATTCTTGCAACTTTTTACTCATTATTTTACTATTAATCCCTAGCGCAATTAAAATCCAACAAATGTACACAAACCGTTATTTAGTAAATATCGTAGTTAGATACTCTTGAAAAATATTGTTTTGTGTTTATATTTGGTATACAACAATTTACATCTACAAGCAACAATTGGTTTAATACATTAAACCATTATGAATGCGAAAAATATTGTAACCATAATGTAACCATAATTGATTACGTAAAGATCAGAATCGGGTTGTGATGTCCAAGTTGCAGAATAATAAAAATTTTCTTGATACTAATCTGCTAGCCATCTGCAGTGCAAATAAAACAACAATAAAGTTTCCGNATAATTGATTACGTAAAGATCAGAATCGGGTTGTGATGTCCAAGTTGCAGAATAATAAAAATTTTCTTGATACTAATCTGCTAGCCGTCTGCAGCGCAAATAAAACAACAATAAAGTTTCCGCGGTGCGCAATATTTGATATTGTATAATAACACAGATCCTTTAATAATCACTGATCACGTAGAAAGGCTGAAAATGTAAAGTAAATCAAAATGGTTTTGATGAGGTAAATTCTATCGTCTCACAATCAGTCTAGGAGCAAATACATTAACCAGGTGGAGCGAAAACATGGTTACAAAAGCAAAGAAGGATGAAGGAAAATGTATGTCGTGTTTCCAAATATATCACTCTTCATCAGCACTGTATAGGTTAGAATTAAAAAGAATCAACAGTATGAACAGCTTTTATTGAAATACAGAGAGAAATAACCGGATATTGATCAACAACTTATAAATTAATTAAAAGATTTCATTCTTTACGTAATAACTTTAGAAAGAAACTAAAATATCATCGTGGATTCTGAGTTATGGTGTTATGAAATTAAAAGCTAAATGTATAGTTTACTTATTTATGGTTCTTAACACTCTGTATGAAAACACTTGGTTGACTTTTATGCTATCTTCGGGTTGGTGGTCTTATTGTGAATGGGAAAACCTTGATGGGTTCTTCTGAAATTTAAATACTTAGGACATATAATCTTTAGGTTGATGCAGAAAAGATTGGGTTTTGGAGTTCTGCAAAAAGTCAGCAAGGTTTTAGACATGATGTCCTAGTGTAAGAAATTCACCCTTATTGTTTGATTTACAAATTTGATTTTCGGAAATTTGAACTATTTAACGTGAGGCTTTTGTTGGTTATATAAAAAACAAATTATTTGCTTCTCACTCTTTCATGTCCTTTTATGTATACTTCGATTATATTTTCGTCCAATTTTGTTACGTATACTCTTTCATGTATAACCCCAGTTGTTGATTCTATTCCGGTAGAATAGGTTTGTGACAGGTGGTGAAATAAGATACACTAATTGATGTAATTGTATGTAATTGTGAACAATTACATATAAACAGGAATGGGCGGAATTGCGACATATGATACCTTGGACACGAATTATCAATAGCTTAAACAGCAACAATGTTTAAATAATTTCATGTTTATGCTTTCATTTAGATATGGACGAGAGTTTTGACAAGAGTTACGGAATAAATTATACTCTTATAGAGTTGAAATACTACCAAGAAATCAGTGCTTTCCAAATAACCACTGAGGAATAATAAATAAGCGCGAGTAGATCATACAAGTGGAGAAAAACCCACAGACAAGCTGGCAGTTACTGGCATCTGAAAATATTATTAATAAAAGTCAAGCCAAAAAAGCAAGAAGAAGACGTGTCCATCCAAAACTCGCTTCAACAAATAATGGAGAAATTAATCAAAACGGATGAACGTATTAATAGACTTGAATATAGTGCTAAAGCAGGTATTCCCAAGAAGACCAATGTCAGGCAACCTTGATTTATGGAAATTAAACCAGAAACGTAAGCTGTCCTAGATATAGAAAATATTGACATACTATCAAATCATTTATATAATTTAAAGAGTATAAAGTATATTACACTATAAATGAAACACAACCAGAAGGAAGGACACTTTTACACGTTAAGGACAGGAATAAGAGAAAGGAAAAATTAGCAGCGCCGGGAGCTAATTTTTCCTTTCTCTTATTCCTGTTCTTAACGTGTAAAGGTGTCCTTCCTTCTGGTTGTGTTTCATTTATATGTTACATGCACGTTTATATTAATTCCACTTATTTAAATATATTACACTAAATTGGTAAATAAAAAACTTAAATTTGTCAGTGTATTTAAGAAGTGAAGAATATGCAAGATAATGAGTTAGTTACCAGACTACATTTCAAGAATCGAAGTTAACAACTACCGCAAAGAAATTAGAGCCATTATTTCTAGAAAAATAAGGTTGAGAGGAATCTGGTATCGAACTAGATCACTAACTGATAGAAAATTAAAGATAACTTTGTCGGTGACTAACTAAATAAACTATCAAATGATAGTAAAATTCAGTATTTGGTCTCGAGGGCTACTAAGAATCTAAGAAGACCAATTCGGTAGAATTCACCAATTAAAAATGTATCAGGTTCCAACAGATACATTCAACGTATCCTTTATTCAGCGTTTTGAAGAAACTTTCAAAACGAATCTAGATTAATATATGAACCTAAGGTATGGAAAATAGCAGAAATGATAATGATTCTTAATATCGAAAGACCACTAAATGAAGTTTCATCTTACAGGCCAATCTCTCTGTTCCCTGTAATTACAAAACTGTTCAAAAAGATACTTCTTAAAAGATTAAAATCGATTATCACAGAGTTGCTCTACTATCGATTAGATTCACAGGATTACAGATATATTTGAAAAATTGTTGGAAACAAGAAAAGTTTGCTCCATTGCATTCCTAGACGTAGCTTAGGCTTTTGATGGAGCGTGGTATGAGTTGACCGCAAATTAAGCAAAGTCTTTCCTAGTTAGATTTTATAATTGTTGAAGTCTTATATCGAACCTAAGTGTTAATCAAAAACTTACTCTGAACTAAAAGCAATTAACGCAGGAGTACTCTATATCAGTGATGAGGATCCCGATGATACTGCTGTAATGGCTATAATGGCTAAGGTAAAGATAAATTTATAAACACCAGTAAAGAAAATAAGCAACTGGACCAAGGAATGGACAATGAAGTTAAATGTGCCAAAATCAGTCCCACCCTGTTCATATTTATCAAAGTGCTTTTGTACAAACGAATTTTCAAGGGTGTATAGACATTTGCCATCTATCTGTGGGGTTGTGCCACTAAGAGCAAAATTAAGAAATAATGCAACGATACTCAAACAAAGAATCAAGGTCCATTGTTGGTATTGCAGAAATAGTAATCTCCATAGGGATATGAAGATGGACACCGTTAGTCAGACCAGTAGCAAATTTGCCAACAGTCATGAACAACGACTTATCATCACATTAATGTCATCCAAATACTCAATAACATAAACCAGATCAGAAGGCCCAAGAGGATAAAATATTCGAGCAGGTATAATTTGAATTAGTACAAAACCAGAGTACAGTATTGGGAAGGGAAGCCCTAGTAAGTAGTTTCTTGGATATAAATTTTGTAGCTGTTATGTGACAAGGAGTCAAGATCATTAAGATTATAATCTTCTTAAATAATTGTGAATGTCTCTTTCCAAATCTCGATGTGTAGGTAATTTATAGCAGATATTTTATGTACGCAAGTGAAATGAATAACAGATATATTTCATTACCGGGAATATCATTCTTTGATAATTACATAACAGAGATATGAATGTCAAATATCACATTTGCACTATCTGAAGCAAATCCAACCATGTTTTGCTTAAATGATATTTCATATTTAGGGAACCATCGCATATTGCAATTGTAAATTGACTGAGCTTTAGCAAAAGTTCATGCATATTAAGCTGGTTCAGCTATGTAATAAACGAGATTTGGTATCTTGAATTGGTTAATGATTCAAAATTTTATGGCAGATATTTTGAAGGCATACTTAATACAGTTAACATATTAATTTGGAATCAATTAATGAAAGTAGTTGACCTTCCAAATCTGAGTCAACATTAAAAGAAAAAAAGTTTTTATCTAATTACATAACGACGCTTGTTTTATGTATACTGTGAGACATCTGTTCCACGTTGAAAACCTTAATGACAACAATTACCGTAAAAACACGTCGAGACATACAAAACGAATTCAAGCGAGCAAATTATACACTTGGTGTCGGGGTACAAATTCGCGCCGGGTTATTATTTAACTAATCGTGGTAGGGGAGTTATTTCGTTTAAAGTGGGTCGCAGAACCGTCACGGTCCATCCTTGTAACGCCCAGAGGGCGACTCCGATTTTAACTTTTAATTGGGCTTGCGGCGATATGCGGGTACGGTCCGGACCCGGGAATCCGGTGTAATTCTATCAGAAACTGGCGTTATCTCACGGTTTAAGCGTCAAATTTGACCGGACGTAATTTTCGCGTCACATTTCATAGATACCTTTGTCGTGCCCCACGGCCGATGCTAATCGCCCGCCGGAAACGTGCCCCTCGTTCTCCTAACCAGTACCGCAATGTTACGTCCTATTGTGTTGTGGCTCTGCTGTAATTACCGGAACTAGTCTCGCGTACGTGGAACTCGTGGCTTTTCACGAGATGAATATGTTAAATTATATCACGTACGTTATTCACGATATGTTTTTATTGGATTATATCATGTTTTATAATCGTTATAAATTTTCATATACATTAAAGGGGATTAATCTTAAATGTATCAACACATTAAGAATTCTTGTATTAATAAATAAAGCACTCATTTAATTGAATAGATTACAAGATTTATTGGTTAGTTTTGTGCTTTCGAAATGTGTTGTGTAAACTGAAATGAGTACTTACGTTCGTGTGAACAACCATATAACTCGACTCTCATACAAACTGTTCTGGGATGTTCACTATACGGAATGAACCGTACTTTATTAGCAATAAATGGCAGTTCCAAACGTTGTCGAACGACGAGGTAAGTGTTACTATTTCCGGTTAAAACCTGCAAAATAAAACAGAAATTTGGTTATAAAACAATAAATAAATAAATTTGTCGATTGAAATTTAAATACAATGTTATATTGGAACTCTTTGTGTTCTTTCTGTCACATATTTGCTCGAACACCGAAAACGTACAACAGTGGAAGTGTTCCAATAGTTCAACCGAACCGTTATCAAATAAAATGTTATAACAAAGGGAAATGGGGTAAAAGCTAGCTTCAAAATGTACGCATTAAAAAAAGGGTATTCTAAAAAACGTTGGGTGAGAGCAGAATTTAAAATGTTAACAGCTGGAGTTTTTCCCGTCCGAAAATAAGATTTAAATTAAAAGCAGCTAAACGCCCTCAAAAGTGAGGGCCGAAACCACGAAGCCAGAAGTAATTTACCCGGACAAATTAATTGTGCATTTCAGTTGATTAGTGATTTTGTCTTTGAAGGGGGCACGTCCCCCCAACCCTACCGCCTCGTTAATTTACCTTGCATAAATAGATTTTCCGTTCTCGGATGCTTCGCTTTTTAAAATGTAGTACGCAAGGCGCCGGCGTCGTCCTCCGGCGAGGAAATTTTCATCAAACCCACAGGCGAACTGAATTACTTTGCGAATTCCGAATGAAATGGCAGCCTGTTTCCATTGTCCACTTACAGCGAAGCCGCGAGACGGTTAATAATTTGATCCCGGGCGCGGGAGAAATTAAAAAGGGCCCTGGGTGGCCTAACTGTGTCGGAAAGTTTCAAACTAATTTGTCTCGAGGTAACCACTGATACGGTTCTTATAAACTGTCATAAATCTATTTGTCGGGGAACGTATTTCGGGACTTTACAACGAAATCTTTCGTGTCACTTTTCAACTTTTAATTAAATCCTTTATTCGATGCCGGAAAGGGAATACGTTTCACTAAGTTGATTAGTAAATTTATTGTTTAATTTTTTTTGTTCTCAAATGTAATTATTAATCAAAAAGTGAACGAACACGGTTTTACGGAGTGAACGACAGGAATAAATCGGAGTAGATAACATCGACACTGATTAAGTAAACTGCTTCGCCGTAATTAGAACGAGCTATACAAGCCAATTTAGTAGGATGTACCAACACGCTAACAGCGAAGTAAGTGAAAAATAGGTAGACCCAGATGTTACTCCGACCGTAATTTTGACAAACCGGCCGTGGCAGGAAACGACGGGACGTAGCATCCCTTACTCGGCAGACTCTCTGATAATTCATCTACAGAGACATCTATTTGCGTGATGCGAACAAATGATTACTGTCGGGAAGAAGGTGCCGGTACTCAAGGGTTAGCAGAGAAGGGACGCCCCGGTTTTCTTGATAAGACTGACAAATGGGCACTATGATTAATGAGAGCGTGCCGTCGTGACGCGAAAGCGCGAAACTGCTCCTGGACGAGACGCCGACGCTGCAGATAACGCAACCGGAAAACAGCGACGCCGTCGCGTTGTAAATAACGGAATTAAATATTTATTGTACTGTTCGTTTGGCCCCACTCGTATACGTGAGCCATTTCTACGGAGAGATATTTCGCTCTCTGACCGTATATCTCGATTTGTAGAAACCAAGGTTCCTACAACCAACCAACACCATCACCTAATCAGGAAAAGAGGGTAAGTTATCGAAAATTCAAGTGGTAGAGAATTTTATTGGGATTAAATTTAAGTAATAAACTTAAATTATTTTCTATTTTATTCGAATCTTGTGAACAAAACAAATTTTTTATTTCCAGCACCTCCACCAAAATTTTATTCTTATACATTTTTAAAATTAACATACAATAACGAATTAATATGGGAAAGGAATCTAGCGCTGAATAATAACTAAAACTAGAGTTAACTAACACTAGACTGAGAAACATTCTGGTTTAGGTAAACATGTTATGTTTCTAGTTATTATATAGTTATATGTGTATCTAGTTATTATATTTCTAGTATATCTAACATTTGGGTTTAGCCTCACCGTCTCTTAAGAATGTTTCTAGTTCTAGATCTAGTATTAGTTATATTTTTAGTCCAATAAAAATATACAGCAATCTGGCGTTATATCGTGAATAATTGGTCGATTGTAGACCTGCCACGTTTACAACCGATTTGGTATTCGCCAAGTATCTGGTATAGGTTGCAGTCTTTCATTGATGCTCTATGTGAGCTGTAATGGGACATATTATACTTTGCCTAATCATTTTGTATTTGCTTTTCCCTCTATATATTACTTATCAGCGCATGAATGTGTTTTATTAAGTGGTTACCACCTAACTTTTACAGGGTGATTTATTAGCTCGCCATCAAATTTTATCATTTGTTGGTTATTCCATTTTTCAAACAAAATTTTTATTGACCTTTTTTCCTATTTCAATTATTTGCGAAATTATAACACTTTAAAGTTTTCTGCAGCGAATTTATTAATAGTCAGTAAAATCAAACATTCAACAAAAACAAAGTTGTCCTTGTAATATGTCAGTTTGCTGTAAGGTTTAATTATTACATACAAGAAGAAACTCAAAATGTGCGCTTATAGCACTGAAGAGTATGCTGATATAATTTTCGCGTATGGTTTTTGTAATGGAAATGCTCGACAATCAGTACGAGAATATCAAGAAAGATTTCTACAGCGTCATTTGCCATACTATTCAATTTTTACCGATTCTTTCAGAGGACTTCGAGAAACAGGTAATCCTTCCATCAGCACTCGAAGAATAGCACACAACATGCGCACAACTTCATGCGTATCGTAAACAGAATGTTCAAGCTCTATAGCCAGGAGATAATCAGCAACAGTTAGCATATTGTGAATGATTATTGCAGCAATATGCCCAAAATAATAACTTCATTTCAAATGTTCTCCGGACAGATGAATCATGTTTTACACGAGATGGTATAAATAATTACCATAATGAACATATCTGGGTATTACAAAATCCGTATGCGATTAGACTCATTAGACCAAGGTAATTTCAGCAACGTTTCAGCATCAACGTTTGGGGTGAAATATTTAACAACAGTTCACTAGGTTTGCATGTACTTGATGGATGTTTGAACGCTGTAAATTACAGATTTTTTTTGAACAATGCACTTTTTGATTTACTTGAAGATATACGATTCATACGATACATACGAATGTTAAACCAATGTTTTTCAAACAAGTGGATTGGTAATAATGGTCCATTTGCTTGGCCAACTAGATCCCTCGACCTTAATCCATTGGCTTTCTACTTATAGGGTCAAATGCAACAAATTGTGTATCAAGTGGAAATTAACACCTACTGAAATAAGAAATGAACCAGACATTTTAATTCGGCTGAAAAACTCTTTAATTCGTCGTTGTGAAGCATGTATTCTAGCAGAAGGAGGCTATTTTGAACAATATTTGTAATATTTATGTGTTATAAAAAAAATGTTGCTGTTAATTATGATATCAAAATTAAAACTTTAAAGTGTTATAATTTCGTAAATAATTGAAATAGGACATATGTTCATTAACATTTTTTTTTTTGGTAATTGGACTAGCTGTCATATGTCAAAGTTTGATGATGAGCTAATAAATCACCTGTATAAGTCAACATCTCCTGTGATTTTGATGGATTTTGCCTTAGAAAAATTGTTTATTATATGTTGAAACCAATCCTTCGTTAGGCTGTTGCCAAAAAGATAAATATTTCTGAATTTAGTCACACTTAAGCCAATAGGTATCGAGAGTGTTATTGAGATGTAGCTGAAGGAATGTGTAGAACTATAAGTTTACTAAAATTCCTTAAGAATCAAACAAACTTTTATTTTTCCCCAACATAGAAGTTAACCGTTCACTAAATACCAAGAAAATGGAGTAGTTTTTAGAAGTATGTTTATATCATTGATATCTGCACCGGGTACAAGAAGTAATTGGGCTAGATGCAGGATTCTCGAAATAGAATACTGCTTAGAGTTGCAGTAAAATCAAAGACTTTTACACATTACAAATAATTCGTTACTAATACATATGAATCGTTTATTCAAAATCAAAAGAGTATTTGTAAGCATAAGGATGATTATTTTATGTTAAATTGTTATAGCTGCAAGTTGTTTTTTATTCATAGCTTCTTGATGTTGGGAAGTTTTGGTTGCTGATTTAAAGCTTAACTCAAGCTCAAGATTAAATTGCGTATTTATGCTTAAACATCATCATCTGCTGACGATACAGTCCTGTGCGGGTCTTGGTCTACTTAAGAACGTCCTTTTATGAACCCCTCCATAGAAGAATCAAGAACTTTACGCCTCCGTCTTCTGGTCTTTAAGATTCTTAGGTTGTCTTCTACATCGTTCATGTAACGTAGTTTTGGTCACTTTTTCGTTGTGGTATTTCTGTTACTATTTTTCTTGCTACCCATCTCAGTTGGCATACTACGACGTCCTTTATATTTCTGATACAATTATGACATTCCTTTCTGATCTGCCCATGATGTCCAAATCATCTGCGAATATTAGGATTTGTATATTCCTGTTAAAAATTATGCCAATCGTTGTTATGCCAAAGCTTCGTATAACCATCTCGAATTCCAGATTGAAAAGCACACAGGATAGTGCGTATTGTCTTATGCCCTGATATATGTCAAATTCTCTAGACATGTATGAATTTATGAATATATTACTTATTTCTGTTTATGAAGTCATAGGCTGCTTTGAAATCAATAAATATATGACGTATGTAGACGTTATCCTCTGAAGTATATTGTGTGAGGACGTACGGCTAAACCCGAAACATTCTTGTTTTAGGTCTAGTGTTAGTTCTAGTTTTAGTTCAATAAAAATATACAACAGTCTAACGCTGAATAACAATTAAAACTAGACCATCCTTGATTTATACATCATATAAACAATTCGAGGAATACCCCGAGTTAATCTATGAATATGTAATAGAGCAACTTAGGGAATAACCCAAGTTGGATTCTATCTATGTGCGTTTTATTTATATTTAAACATACTAATAAATTAAGGTTTTACTGTAAATATTTTTTTGTA